TCTTTGAAGATCGGCTAATATCATAGTATTTTCATTCCAACGGTGTTCATAAGGTATTATTCAACAGTTTTACCATAAGTTTTTTAGAACGAAATTCCTTTTTGTGCGTTACGCGCTCTGAGCAGATGGAAGCGATACCGTAAAATGTGTAAGCAGACACTTTTCTGACACTTCAGTTAGCACGTCGACGCTCACATCTTTTTCATATTTCATACACATATATATATATATATATATATATATATAGATCAAACGTCTACTACAAAGTGAAAGGAATTACATTCCGACCATAGACCCCTCATGCCAGTTTTTATGGTGTAGGAGGGCAGGGTCACCTGATGGTTACATTACAATTCCAGAGCCTCTCTTGGAAGCGGATTTAGTATCTAAAATAGAGACAAATTTCTATAAAAAGTTGATAAGCGTTTAGCGATCTTTGTTATACCAATTGACGTGATATTTAAGCTAAGCAGATTTCCACTAGAATTGTTCAGTCGAATTTGTTAAAACATAAAAAAAAATACCAACAAATCAGTGGTCCGCGCGGTGACGGACTAAGATTACGCAATTTCACCACCCCTATACATCCTTTGGGTGTCGTAAGAGTCGACTAAGGGAGCAGGACAATAGCACTGCAAAGAGAAGGATAGCCTTACACCCTTAAACCCTATAAACCACATCACATAAACCACCAACCAGTCTGGCCAGCGTGGTATAGTAGGCCAAACCTCCTTTCTAAGGAGAACCCTATGTTCAGCAGTGGACTATTAAAGCTGTTGATGATGATCAGATTAGTAATGATTTTCCTTTATTTCCTATAGTCATCATAATATATTTTCATAGTATAAATCCATATTTTCTCTCTAACGATTGGTGAAAACCGTATAAAGTTCTGAATTTTACTTTCGAATTTTATCGCATTTAGACAAACAGACGCGGCGAAAAACTTTATTTTCTAATATTCCGGACAAAATCAAATTACCGTCACGTTATGAATATTTTGTAAACTACAACTGGTATTTTAGAACGGTTTATATGACCATTATAATATTTTATTTCTTATATTTTAACAATGCTGTTGAAATGTGATTACCTCCGTAAAATCTAAAAGGTACTTTATTATTTATATACACACCATTAACAATAAAGAGCATTTTAGTTTTTATTATAACCCACGCTTAGCTTGTACCTAGCAATAACTGTTTGACAAAAACCATTATGACAAATTTTAAAGTTTCCCTACAAAAAAATATGTTCCGTAACAACGTGTAATAACAAATTTCCTTCCTTATCTAGTTAAAACAACACTATGCTGATACCAAAGTTCAAGGCCCAATTTAGTAACATGGTTTAGCTTTGAGGTCACAGATTTACATCTTAAAAGATACGTTATTATATTACCAAGCACCGTAATTGCTTTATTATATTTAGTGTCGTCCTTTTAACACACAAATAACCTTTAAGTAAGCATCGGATAGCAAACGTACATAATACAAAAAAGATAAATTGTTTTGGTAAAATGTATTAACTGTCTTCTTTTTTGAGGCGCTAAAATATTCCCGAAAAAAATAATAAAATCAGTGTTTGTATATACAATATATGGTAAGCTTCTTAAAATACCATTAGCCAAATACTTTGTTTTACAAGAAAATACATTGCCATACTCTCCACAATAAATTTTAAAAATATTAATTAAATTAAAGCTAGTACAAAATATGTCTCAAAATACTGATCCTAACGTATTAGGAAGCTATTTAAGCTGAGTCTTAAGGGACCTGACCTGACAACTGAATGTGAAGAGCGTTTGGTTACTTCTGTAGGTGTCATTGATATAATGAGTACAATTAATCAGTTAATAAGTTGATAAACTGTGTATTTTTGTGACATAAAATAATATATTATGATGATAAAATAAATCAACGTATGTTTTTATATAAGAAGTAATGAAAATTATCTAATACCTTTAAACGAGCAATTCTTGTGAATATTTAATCTGAATCTCTCAAACGGCTGCAACAATTTTCATGAAATTAAGTAGGCAGGGGGTTTCGGGGGCAATTAATCGATCTAGCTAGGATTCATTTTTAGAAAATTTACCAAAAAAAAAATACCAGGTCATGCAGGTACTGTGTTTTGATAACAGCTATATTCTAAAAATAAATGGTTCTGAGTTTTTTTGCAACTGAAATCTACAAAGCAATCCCAACACCTAGGCGATTGTTGTTACGAAAGGTGCTCCCTAGATAACGAAATGATGAGACTTCCTTTAGGGTTTTCCCGCACAGTGTCATGGCTATGGGATCAGTACTATCACCTCGATCTGGTTGTATAATTACTTATGTTTTAGAAGCACTTATGACTAGTCTAAAATTGTGGCAGGAATACTACGAAATCGAGTAATGTTAAAAACGCTTAAATAAAGCGTTTAGTGCAGAATTATCGCTTGGTGTATGCCGTTTGCAATATTAGACGTTGAAAACCTCGGTTTGTGTCAAGTTTTCCTTCTCTTTGCAGTGCCGTTGTTCTATTACTCCCCTAGTCAGCTCTTACGACACCTTCGGGATGAATAGGGGTGATGACACTCCGTATTCCTAATCCGTCATCACACGGATAGGTTTTTTCTTATGTTACAGATCTCAAACAATTTTATAGATAAGCTGTGAAAAAAACGGTTTTTAATTATTACAACACCGGTCCTAGATAGTTGCCCAATTAATAACTAATTGACAGTCGCAGTGACAAGTGCGAATTAATTTGCTCTTTGGTAATGATTACTTAAATCAAAATATGTAAATTAAATAGTATTTAATGAGAATCGATTATTCACAGAATTTTGTGTGTCAACTTATATAGTATTCGATGCACACAAACCTACAATTTCTCCTATTTTGTTGTAGTGATTTTAAGTCATTTTGAATTTCATATGTTTTGACGTGTTAGTTCAAAAGAATACATTAATTTCCTTCATTTCATCATCAACAGCCTTTAATAGTCCACTGCTGGACATAAGCCTCTCCTTAGAAAGGAGGTTTTGGCCTACTATACCACGCTGGCCAGACGGGTTGGTATAGGGTTTGTGTCAAGTTTTCCTTCTCTCTGCAGCGCTGTTGTTCTGCGTAGTTTTCTCCCTTAGTCGTCACGTACGACACCCACGGGATGAATAGGGGTGGTGACACTCTGTATTCTTAATCCGTCACCACACGGACATTCCATTGCTTCATTTGTTTACCATAAACTGTGTACATATAAAAATAGGATCGAGTACAGTTCCTTTGAAACCATCGCCAATCGCTTCCATGCATGTCACACACACGTAAAGTATGAGTATCTATTTAGCCCAGCTGTTAATTTAACTCACATCGAGCTGTGCCAAATTACATTTCCTAATATCCGTGTATTAGGAAATTTAATGAACTGATCAACATGTTTATTGTTTTTACCACTGTTCATATTTGAACATGATTGGAAGTTACGAGGAGGTGAAATAAAACAACATATATTATTGTCATTAAATTATTTATCATATTTATTATATATTATATTTATTATATTATCATATTTATCAGTCAACTGCTGCATATCTTCTTAGAAATGAGGTTTCGACCACGCTGGCCATGTCAATTTTTTCTTCCCTCTACAGTGCTGTTGTCCTGCGTAGTTTACTCCCTTCGGCTGTCGGCTGAAAAATTGTTGTATCAGACCGATTTTTATTTCTTTTGAAATGTGATTTTTCTGGTGTAGATGCTCATTTTATACGAAGCAATACAATAGCAACAATCTCTGTTTTCTCAAATAGTTAGCAAAATAAATTTAATAAAAATTATGCTAATACAAAATCTATGATATGCCTGTGCCGATCCACTACCGCCCGTTTCCAAGGGGTTGAGCCTTATGCGAAGAAAGGGCAAACATACTCATGGCCACTCTTTTGCAATTCACAGATAGATACAATGGCATCATTAAATATACCACAACTTTGTTTTGATGCGTGCCATTACGTCCGTTATTAAGGACTAAAAGGTAAAAAGACAATAAAGAGAAAAATAAGATTAAGAAAAAAATCAAATAAAAGAGAAAGTGAAGTGAAACATAAAAAATAGAAAGGAAATAACAATAACAAAAAGCACTCCAACCCACGTCACATTTCCACTTAAGCAATAGCCTGCGCTAAATTAATCATGAATAATAATGTGTTTATACTTAAGTCTTGAATATTATTTGGGATTTTATTATAAAATCGAAAACATTGACCTCGAAACGACTTGTTTATCTTTTGGAGCCTAACGTTGATTAATGTGCCATATTAAATAAATTGTTTACAGTTTTGTCACTTTTGTAGTTTCAAACGTTACCATCAATGTGTAGAACTATAATTAAGATCTTACAGTTAGTTACAAACTAAGCAGAGGTTGTACTATGAAAGCTAGATTGACTGATAGAATACTTATATACTTTTTTCGTAAATACATACTAATCAGGATAAAGTAATGCTAGAATTAAGGATACAATAGCATGAAATAAAAAATAAAACCTTTTTACACTCTTGAAACCCCATAAGAAAGGTTGTCATGTCTAAATAATCAAATATACTCACGTCTTTTTCCCCGAAGGGATAGACAGAGTCGTATTAGACGCCCATATTTTATTGGCTATAGTTTGAGTCCTACTTACTTTATAGGGGGAGGGGGGACATATATTTTTAAATAAACTGATTTATATATTTCTATAAGACGTATTAAAGAAAGCTTGGTAGCGGTGGCGGTGATAGCCGCTTTCCATCAGGTGACCTGTCTTCCATAAAAAAAAAAAACCCAGTCAGAACAAATGATAGTACTCATAACACAATATTTGTGCAGGGTGTGAATGGACCCCACCACCTCAGGCTTAGCGCACAGTATCGCTTATCACTAGACCAACAACCCATTCACTAAATAATTGTGTCACTTATTCTATAAACTAAATATTGTTCTACTCGTTTATAAATGTATTTTACTCCACAGCCTCAAATGGTCCATACAATGGCGATCTTCCAATCAAAGACACCGGCAGCAACAGCAGCAGTGGATGGAGAAGAGATGCAGCAAGAAGAGCACGAGCGTGCTGTTCCACCAAAACCCTGAAGCGAAGACTCCCAATCCTCGAATGGCTACCCAAGTATTCGTTAAGCAATGGGCTGTCTGATGTTATTGCTGGTAAGTTATATTTGACGTAGCAGTTAATTTTACAATATTTTCTACAATAATAATGGCCGGACCTAATACCTGTAATCCTGTGGCATACCACTTGATTATACTTGCAGATATACAACTTGCTAACACATACTTTGTGACGTATACTTAATTATAAGTTTGTTTATTTTATTTCTTCCAGCAGCAATATTTACGACAGCCTAAAATGTGTACCTTAAGGTAAAACTAAAAACGGTAATTGTAAAGTAATAGCACTAAAAAAACTTAAATCGTGTTTATCTGGAAACGACTTTTATTCCCGACGATTATTTTATATCGATGTTTTAGAAGAAAGGATGTGATAGATGAGAGGAACAATGCGAGAATGATAATACTCTCAAGAGCCTTATGGACCACCAGGAATATGCAATTTGATCAGAAACGTTCCGAAGGCACTTGTAGCTGACCGATATATAGTTCCTCTATTTTTTCATATACAAGTAGCCCAATTATAAATACTGATGTAGGATTATACAATTCTTTATTTTTCTTTATTGCTTAAAAAGATAACTCCCGCATTAAGACCCTGTGTCGCAGGGAACTTTACACACATACATGAAACAGACACAAAAAACACCCATACTCAGTACCAAAATTAGTGGATCACACATAGTATTGTCCCAAGAGGGGATCCCACCTGCAACCCTCAGCGTAGTAGGCAGGTGAGGTGACCGCCTTAACCACTACGCCATCCGTGCAGACTTTTGTTGTGATTTGATTTCATAGAGAGGATTGTACTAAAGGCGTAGGACCGTGTTTTGTGGTTCTCATTACAAAATTAAAAAATATACTTTTGAGCTTAGACAATTAAGCAACAATCTAACTTCATATGACATATTGTTTTCGTAGCTAAGACAAGTACATACCCGAACCGAAGTGAAACTAGGAAATTGAAAACAAAATTAGCAATAGGTCTTATATTATTGATTCCGTAATGCATTTAGTAGGAAACTAAAATAGATATCAATGCACTAGAGAAAAAACTTTAAGAGGAACTGTGATCACCGATCACATTCAGCAATTACAAAGGTACCTTGTCTCCTGGAGCGTAAAGTCGTTGATGCGTCACAGCTGTTTCACACTCCACTGATGTTGCCGGACTTAATAATGTGTGTAATCAAATATGAATGTATCAACACGAGAACTTGTTAAGCCTCAACACGCTGAGAACACGTGACAGAACGACATAAATCAGATTATTAGATACCTTCTCGTTTATACGCATGAAACGGATAACGAAACCGAACATTAACAATTAAAATAGCATAAAGCACTACATAAAACGCTTGAAGCTTGTGGGTTACAAACGTTTTATGTCCAAAGTTCATAAAATATTTATCTTATATATAAAATTCTCGTGCCACAATGTTCGTTCCCGTACTCCTCCGAAACGGCTTGACCGATTCTCATGAAATTTTGTGTGCACATCGGGTAGGTCTGAGAATCGGCCAACATCTATTTTTCATACCCCTAAATGGTAAGGGTGACCCATCCCTAATTTTTTTTTGTTTTGCAATACAACGTTTGCCGGGTCAGCTAGTATATGCATTTATATAGAATTTGCTTCCACCTTTCTATGCTATTAAGAGACAATGGATAACAGTAGTCTTAATCCCTTGTTAGGCCAGCAGTAATCCTAGTGCATGATCTCCTCTACACCTCTCCAACATAATTAAATCGAAACTATGTTATCCAAATCCTCGTCGATCTGACAAATTTAACAAATCTTTTGGAGTCTACTTTTTATTTACAATTTCATGTTTTTATACAACAGTCGTAAACATCATTGACGATAAGGATGGTGTATTTATCGGTGAGTGCATTGACCTCAATCACATTGGAAATTATACTTCTATAAAGAAAATTTGATATCGGCAAAAACATTGTAAACTGTACGCCCTTGCATTAGAGCGCAGCAAATCTGTTAGACGGAGAAGTAGTGCAGTTTGGCGGAGCGTGAAATGGTCGCGATGTGTCGTCACAGGCGCATTGTGTGCCACCTCAGTGGCGCAATCATTGTGCCAATCATGCATTTAATTTTAAATTAAAGTCTAGTCTAAATAGTTTCGTAAACAGTAAATTAGTTTTGTCTGTGTTAGTAAAAAATATCATATAAATGACATTATCTTTTAATATAAGTAACTTTAGGTGGCATATTGACCTATATGAAATACTTGCACAGCATAGGCATAAAACTGATATCCTACTGGTCAATTCTTGGGTCTGACAAATTGTATTTTAATGTGAAAAAAACTTCTGACAGTATACGTATACGTCTCTTGCATGTGGTATCTGAATATGGCAAAGAAAAATGTGTCGAAATTTTCTTTTAACATACAGTATGGGTCAATCATTATGGCGTTAGTTGTCCGTGTCGGTATTGAAACTGAAGTCCGCAGTAGTATTCAATGCATGAATCAGAGGCACTGCTACCGAGCGCGCTGAGGCGTTACTCGACGATAATTGTGTAGATACAATCACAGTACGAACATTAAACATATACATTGTGTTATTTCCTGAAGCCATTTTTTATGTTTTTATCACGTTATCCGACGTATAGTAGAACCTATACCACACTCGGTCCCAGGAGGGACGGTTAGGTACGGAACCGCGGACTCTTTGAAGTATGATTGTTTCTCATTCGACAATTCAAGTTTCCCTTTCCCTTGCTCCCTCATTCTATTATAATCTGGAGTCACGATAGTGACGCCGCCATGACGAGCAAAGCTATGCTAGTAAAAAAAAAATTCACTGTTAATAACGTTTCTGTTATACAATAGTAACGAAACGGCCCAGCCATAAATTTGACTGAGGTGTAGAGTTTGTTAAGTTAGGGCGTGTAGAGTTAGAACCTTGGCTCTACATGAATGAGATCTGATAACTTTTAGACAGTGTGAGCCATATGGTATCGTCTTGGCAACATTTTACATGAAAATGTTTTTGGTGGGATAACAACACCTTGATACATCTCACACACGCCAGTCTAATCCCAAGCTGTACTATGGTAACCAGCCTGCTGATCAACATACTTACATATTTTAAAATATTAAACATAAATTACACCCAGACACAGAACAAATCATCGTGCTCATCACACAATTACTTGTCCTGTATAGGAATCTAACCCCCGGCCTCCGGTTTAGCAGTCAGGGTCACTAACCTCTAGATCAACAGCAATATCAAAGCAAGTTTTTGTGACCCAGAACTTTTAATTTATGACAGTCGCCTATAATGAGTTGCCATGAATGATCACCCTTGTACCAATTACTTCATTCATCAATTGTTTTCAATCTTTAAGAAGATATAAGAACATCGCGTTTCAACAACTACGGCCTCTTTCGATCTAATCATTAGAATGAATGAAATGAATGATTATTATACATTAGTAATGTATAATAATCATTCAGAGATACAAGAGACATTATCATATTTTTTTCTTAACGAGTTACGTGAAATTTAACTTTAGGTTTCCTACCGTATAAAGGAATTCTAAACATAAAATTAACTATATGAATACGCATAAAAAAAAAAACTAGCATCCTGAATTTAAATAAGGCACACTACATCACGTTACGTAAATATTAACTTATCTGTATTTAAACATTGTCATATGTTAATATTGACACATGACAAACTTTTTCATTTGTTCAAAATCACTTAAAATCTACTCGGTACCAGAATATAAATTAGTGGACTAAATTAGGGCTATATTAAGATATATTATTAAAGCATAGTTACACCGTAATTTGTTTAATTAATTTTGTCATTTCAAATAGTACATAGCGACTAGAAATGAAACAAAATCACAGTGAACTGTGATTTATCATTCGATTTTTTCGTATGTAGGTTAGGGTTGGTTCTTATTCACGCTTTGTTGCCAATAAGAACCTATTTTGTCTATTTAACAGTAAATCTAGTACTTGTTAATTATTATGTAGGGAATGGTAGCTATATGTAATAAAATAATTACTAGATTTACTATTAAATAGACAAAATAGGGTCTTAATACATCGTCTGAAAACAGCTTATTGGCAACAACATCTGAGTTAGAAGCAACCCATATCTAGTAGCGACGAATATTAACCGTGGGGGAAGAAATGGGCCAGCTCGACCGGAGGGACGTCACGGCTTCACAGAAACTAGTGTTACGCAAATATTTCGTTGGTTTTCACCGAGTGAGTGATGTTACCGTAGGTTCCATAACTTCCCTGTCTTTTATTCAACTCAAACTCAACTCTCTTGTAAACGGGGCCAATATATGTATGTAGATACCTATATACAGTGTAGCGAGTCTAATGGTTTAATCCTATCTCAAAAAATACATTATTTTGTTTGTTTTCACTTCAAAAATCAAATGTGTTGTGTTAAGATTATTTTATTTCAAAGTCACAATGGCTACTTATTCAAAGAAAATTGTTAAATTTCAATGGAGTCTAGTTATATCATTATTTTTTCATTCAAAACTGTCGAAATTTGACCACTGGGATCTTATAATACTATACCTACTAGGTACAACAACACCAAAGATATATGTCCGAAAGACTTTGTGTGTAACTGATATTTTTCTAACATTTGAATACGTTATACTTGTAACTTAATACGCATATAACAAATATACAAAAATATAAAAAGTTTTTTCTTGTACACACACATGTAACATTTCACAGACACGTGTTTGGATATGTGGCGCATTGACGTGTCGTGTCAACTACTCGTATTGTCAATGTTATGTAAGAATGACACAGAATGGTTTATTGAATAAATAATTTTCTTCCTTTCTTTCTAAATGAAAAAAGAGTTTACGAACTTGTATTTTGATAGGACATTCAACGCTTATTTAAATCTTTGCCTGATTAGTATACTAGTTATAACTTGAACGGCTGACCCGTAACTTTCTAAGTAACGTCTCACCTTGACTTCTCCGCTCTGTCTCTCGTTCGCAGAATCTCTCCCTTCACCGCTAAGCCTTGGTACATAATTAATGTGTTTAAATCGCAAATCATTAGATAACCTTTTTTCCTACAGCCTCGATTACCTACTTTCCTTAAAGCTATTCGAACAAAAACTGATCTAATTTGTTGCCATTCTGAACGATTCTGAAATGGTCACAAAAAATTCAGTTAATACAGTGGTTATATTTACCTATTTAACGTAGAGCCTCTGAAAAAGTAATATTTAAATGAAGCATCCTAAATAATGACATACAACTACTCTCTGTTTTAGAATCGCTTACAAAGAATAAGATTTTGTCAAGCACATCTTACGAAATGACGATACGTACACTAAACACGTGAGAAGCAACACAGTGGTTAGTCATTCTAATTGCTAAGCTAGGGTTTGCGGGTTCGATTTTCTTTTTTTATTTTGATAAAGACATTTCCCACACTTGGAATATATCCTTCACAAACATACACGAAACGGACACAAATTACACACAAAGTGTCATGTGGGAATCAACCTCACAACACTCAGCGCAGTGGAAAGCGGCAAGGTGACGGCTTAAACCACTACGCCATCCGTGTCAAGTCGATTACCACCCAGGACAAATAATTTGTTTGTCCTTGATCTGGGTGTAATTTATCTATAATGTGTATGTATAACAGAAATATTTAACATTCCATATGGTTACGGTAGTACAGGCTGTGCTTAGTTTGGGTTCAGACATCCGTGTGATGAAGGTTATTAAAATATATTCAAACTTTTACGCATCACATGAACAGTTATCAGTAACATTGCAAATATTAGTGAAGTTACAAGAACGGGTTACTGATGTCGAACATTTATATGTTTTAAATATTTATGAGTACACGGTTGTATTTGTATTCACCAGTATTTCTAATATAATCGACTAGTTTAGGGGCTTGACAGATCTTGTCAGTGAGTGTCAGGGGCCAACACAACGCTCAGACACAACCTTTGATAAATTTATTTGACGGAAGTTTTTGTTTTATCAATTGTGTTGAACTTCAATGTATTTGTTTAGTGTATTTTTAAGTGTTTGTTCTCCTTCTTTGTCACTTGACTCGAACATAACAGTGTAGGCAAGCGTGATCATGATGACCTTTCATATTTTGTCAGATATATATCTTCAAAAAATGTACAAGATTTCATAGTAATCGATACACCAAATACATTTAAAATTAGTTAAGAGTTAGCGGTTCCGCCCGCGTGTACTCGTACGTCGGGTAAAAAGTAGCCTATGTTACTCGCTGATAATGTAGCTTTCCATTGATGTAAGATTTTTAAATCGGTTTAGGCGTGAAAGCGTAACAAGCAAACAAACTAACTTTATCAACTATAAGTATGGATAGTTATAGAATGAAACACAAAACCAAACTTCAGTGACATCTACCGAAAACACCGAACTACGGATTAATCCTGTATCGCGATATGAAAAGTTCTCACGTAGATTAGAATAACTATATAAAACTTCCCATAATCAACCGAGGCACGATCACCTATCCTGGATGCAGGATCCTTCCTTTGTATTGGAGGCACATAACACACCCGTTCCTCCACAGAAGAATATAGAAGGATAAGGCTGGTCTCCTCAAACTTCTACAGTATCGGTCGCGTTTTAATTTTTTTCACTTTTCCCTTACCCCATTTATCTTCTGAAGAAAACGATTTCATTCTTATAGAGAGTTGACCTCAGGCAGGCTGCCGGCCATATAAGAAATCATGTTACACATTGCATCAACTTAAACAAAAACAGGAAAAAAGCTGGCACATTATGAGGTTATGGTGGATTAGGTTGGTTAACGACACACTATTCAATAACCGTCAGAGTGTCACAACGAAAAGGTTAATTAGTATGGAAAAAGGATCCGTTTTAATGAATGTACCAAAAGTAGTTTGGGTGTAGAGAGAGATACATAATGTCTCGGGATAATATTATCATCAGAGTGAATTAAAACAATTTCTTTATTTGCAGGTATAACAGTAGGGCTCACAGTAATACCCCAAGCCATAGCATACGCGGGGGTGGCTGGTCTTCCCCCACAGTATGGCTTGTATTCCTCGTTCATGGCGTGCTTCGTGTACACCGTGTTCGGATCCGTGAAGGACTCTGCCATCGGTCCCACGGCCATTGCCGCCATCCTGACGAGAGAGAACTTGCACGGCTTGGGCCCGGAGTTCGCTGTGCTGCTGGCTTTCTTGTCAGGATGTGTGGAGTTGCTTATGGGGATTCTTCAACTGGGTAAGTGTTGAATTACTAACTTTTTACCTGTCTGCAGTGAAGCTAAAATGCAGGTTTATAACTATGATCTCTATATTCTCGTAAGTATGTATGCATATATGAAAACATTGGGACGTACCTTCTTACGTAACCACTAAATATCTGTACTGATTTTGATGCACGATAATTCTTTGATTGTAATTTAAGTGTTACTGGGCTTATTATTATTTTTTAAATATGCAGAGGGTTTTTAACGTTAATTTATATATATATATATATATATATATATATATATATATATATATATATATATATATATATATATATATATACCCAGTGTATATTAAGTCAATATACTATTATTGACCAATCTTTGAGAAATTATATTACTCAAACCATGTCATCTCTGCTCTGCTTAGTTTGAAACTACATGGCGTCCGAAAATATTATCATTATCAACAGCCTTTACTAGTCCACTACTGGACATAGGCCTCTCCGTAGAAAGGAGGTTTTAGACTACTATGCCACGCTAGCCAGACGGGTTGGCATCGGGTTTGTTTCAAGTTTTCCTTCTTTTTGCAGTGCTGGTGTTCAGCGTTGTTTTGCGCCCTTAGTCGGCTCTTATGACACCGGCGGGATGAATAGGGGTGGAGACACTCTGTATTCTTAATCCGTCACCACACGAAAATATTTTATTTTTATATATTTAGTCTAGCTACTACTTACGTAGAAATAAAATCGAAGGGCGCACCTCTTCTTCTTATTTTTACGCCTGATTAATGTTCTACAATGACGTGGAGTGTGAAGTGATGACTGTTACCGGCGACGTAACTTATTACTTTTGACTTTTAGTACATTATCTACGTTATTATTATCTTTCTTTTCATATAACCGGTATAATATTTCAATAAAACCGTTTATCGTTTTTTTTTCTGTTTATTATTTTAAAATCTTGTCAGTTACTTTTAAAATAAAATAACACACTTGTAATGTTAAGTGTTCGAGAAACTTTTCCCTCATCTACATGTTTTACTTATATGACTTTACCTTTTATTGCAACAATCACCTATCCCTAAATTTTTTTTTTTAGGATAGGAAATCTCGCCTCGTTAAATTGTTGGATGCGGATTTAATTGTACATCTTTGTTACTTTTTTCATGCACTAGACTAATTAGTAAGTAAAGTGGTTAACAGACCAGCTTAGATATTTGTTGAAATTCTTCAAACGCAAGTCTATATGCATTGTGTGCCGTAAATTCATTACAACCCTAGCCCTTTTTATTCAACCATTTGCCAATTACTTCGTTTAACACAAATAGCTATTTAAAATTTTTTTGCAATTTTACTATTTAAAATTTTTTTTTTAAATAGTAAAATAATAAAAAGTCAAAAATTACTAAAAGCTGGTGTTAGTTTTAAGATCCCAAAGTTTTAGCTTTATGTATTATGTTTAATTTTATTTATTTATTTGTCAATGACTTTAAAAAAGAATGTCTAAATATAAATACAAAAATATATTTTTATTTTGAGCGATTTTAAAAGCATATAGTTTTATTGTAAATATTGTAAACAATGTAATCTCACAAGACTATAATAGTTTACCTGGTGAGTTAACATCTACACAATTTTCAATAATTGTTTGTCTCTATCTTTGTCTAAATCTTAAGTCAGTTTAACAAAAAAAAACCATCACAGTCGATGGCGTATTAAACCATTCCGTTTACATTTATCCTAATTATTATTAACATAATCAGGTTTTTATGCCTAAAACTGCCAGTTCTATTTAATACTGTCTCTCGTGTTGGAAACTATTTGACATTGAAGTTAACATTTACTGCTAGCTGTGATCATACACAATTTAATATTCAACGGGTGAAACCTTTTTTTTTTTTTTAAATTAATGTAGTTAAGTTATTCCTCATAACATCAGCCGTCTGGTAGTGAAAACCCAATGGAAATCAATACATCAATTTCAGACATAGCCGTAACTAATAAACAGATAAAAATTTTAGAAGTTACCTTTTTGTGGACTACACTAACTACTACATATTACTGCTCTACAAATAGGTGTCGTTAACCGTAACCTACACATAGACCCATAGATAACACATCTACATAATATAATAGAAGCGTACACTCAACGTGAAATTACACAAATATTCGAGTTTACAGCAGTTACATGTTATTTGTGGCGTCCACACAGAGCCTCACAATCGCCTACGCCCATTGTCGACACTTAACGAGGCGAGACATTGGTGAGCGCGTCACCTACCTACACTTAAATATTTTGATTTTTTTAATCATGATCATCAGCTTTTCCTGCTCTACTCTTAATTTTCGGGTCGGAGGTGTAATATTGAGAAAGGTGTTAGCATGAGCTAACACCAAGCAACCCTCCTTGGGTATACATAAAATCATTTTATGGAGGGATGTAAGGGATAGGTTATATAAATCAGTACTTAAGTCTAAAATGTACATACATACATAGTTTCGTATTATTCCTCATAACACACACACACTAAAAATAATAGGTAATCCTTTCACTGGAAATCTAATTTTACGTAAGTCAAGTAATAAAAAGTAAATATCGAAGTTCCACGTGCTTTGCTTTCTCTTTGCATATACAGAAAACTTTAAAATGTTTAGCATATGAAAGTTGTAGTAGACCACTGTGCCCAACAAACATCTATTGTACAAAACAAAATGACTCATTGTGACCCGATGACAAGAAATTCATAGAATGAAAACAGACACTTGTGAAAACAATATTGACTATGACGTTTGCGTCTTATTTTAAGCTACTAAGCATAAAACCGACTGTCCAGATATACTAAATAGAATATTAAAACACGTAATAGTCCCTTGAACTGGAACGGATCCGTGGCAAGATTGCTTGGGGCTACTGCGGTAATAGAAGAGCACTCAAGCACATAGTCATATTATATTCCGTCTGTGAATCCGTCCGTCCGAATTCCGTCATTCTGTCCGTGTAGTGACGGATTAAGAATACGGAATGTCACTACCCCAATTCATCCCGTGGGTGTCGTAAAAGCCGACTAAGGGCGAAAAACAAAGCAGGACACCAACACTACAAAAAGAAGGAAAACTTGACACAAACCCTAAACCAACCCGTCTGGCCAGCGTGGTATAGTAGGCCAAAACCTCCTTTCTAAGGAGAGGCCTATGTCCAACAGTGGACTATTAAAGGCTGTCGATGTGTGATCGTCGATCGAAACGTTAGCGAATAATCCGGAAACAGGACCGAAATCTTCTAACTTGAAAACATGTAGTCAGATAATTGTTGTGGATTAATTTCACATCAAACAGATAGTAATCCCAATACTTCTTAGTGAGTAGCAGTCAGTTATGCATACACTCGCGCGTATATGCACTAGCGATAGGAGAATTTGAAGTAAATTGAACGGAAAGGTAGATTAGAAGGGATCTTAATGGTAGGAAAGGTATATTGCTTATACAGATGTATTGGGGAATATCGAGTTGGTCAGGGTCATATACCAGCGTCCTCCTAGTCTAGTCTAATGTTATATATTTTATTCTTCTTTAAATAGTACAACTGTTTAACAACTAATAAATTATAATTACGTATTACTAGAATTAACGCGCTTACGATAGTTATTAAGTACATACCTTTGAATTGCCTGACGTCAGCCTGTAACCACGGCTTGTGCAGCCTGGTCGCAATACCTATCCTGATCGAGTAAAATTCCGTAATATATACTTTTTATATTTTCAATGTCCGTGTGGTGACGGATTAAGAATACGGAATGTCACCACCCCTATTAATCCCGTGGGTGTCGTAAGAGCCGACTAAGGGAGCAAACTACGCAGGACGACAGTACTGCTAAGGAAGGAAAACTTGAAACAAACCCTATACCAACCCGTTTGGCCAGCTTGGTATAGTAGGCCAAAACCTACTTGCTAAGGAGAGGCCTATGTCCAGCAGTGGACTGTTATAGGCTGTTGGTGGTGGTTGGTGGTGGTGGTATATTTTGAAACGTGATAGTTTAAAAGTTAGTATGACAAATAAAGTATTTAATGAGTAATATGCTAGGAAACCGCGTCTCCATGTGCCATATACATTGATGCGTTTTGTTGATGCTCTCTCCTGGCCGCATCCTCAGCTACTCACTATTACACGCAGCTGTTGCACTCCGCAGCTTGTTGACACAAACAACAAGTTTTCATCTCATTGTTAAACCACTTGTTGAAAGTAAACAGTTTTCAACGTCTATTGCATACATGTACATTATCTTCAGTTTCGCATAGTTTTCTTTACATTATTTTACACAAAGTTATGGTGGAATCCAGCGAGCCTAAATTCAAAAGGTATTAACTGAAAATTTATTCTAAAAATTTATTAAAAAATTATATAACACAAAATTCATTTCACTTTGTAACTCTTCATTAATAGTGTTTAAATTTAACGCCATTTAAAAAAAGGGTCATGCAATTTTGCATACGCAAAAACATTCAAAGCATAGAAATCGCTACAGAGTACGTTTTATTAAAAACAAGGTAAAACCTTAGTGATATAAAATGTAACTTCTAGGATAGCTAAAGATTTCATCATCATCATCAACAGCTTTTACTAGTCCACTGCTGAACTCAACTGGACCTCAATTCTGCTTTTTTAATATTGTACCAATAGACTGTCGATGGAATGTCGTCGGAATAGTTTTGCACTTTTCCTATTCTACTAACTATGTAAGACTAATGGCCTCTCGATGACTTGTCACTGATACAAATGTCGTCGATGTCTTTGTAACAGTTTGGTAAACCGTACATTTTAAATTTGTTAGAAAGTGATATATTTAATTTTCCACTTATGGCAAAGTTATCGATTTCACCATTGATGCTCTATATTACTATATCGACAGTCTATTGACACTGTGAATTTATGTTATTAGAATACTGATATTTTGACCGATGTCAATGGCGTCTCAATGGTATCTCAATTGGCCTTGAGGCCTTGTGTGTTTGTAAAGGCGCGTTTACTAATAGGTATAATAAAACAGTATTATATGCAATCATTGATCATTAATGACTGGGAATGTAACGCATTCTTAATCAATGTTATAATTGCAATCGAATAAAATTATTTTCACGCCATTCAATTCTTTGTCATGAAATTCGTGCACCGAGCATTAAGTCATTAGAATCTTCTAAATCTTTACTACTTTATAGTTTTGAATTGTATGTCTAATAAGTTTTTAATTTATACCTAATTATTAATACGTTAATTAACGCGTTCAAAGGGCATTACATACTTATGAATTGCCTGACTTTGCGACCTGGAGGTTGTGACCAAGCTGACAAACGACCTTATCAAAACGTTAGTCAACTAAGAATTCCTCTTTCTTTACCTTTTAAATGGATCTAGAGAGTATTAGGTAACTTTATTTTATGGTATTTAATATGTATGCATACATTTCGCTGTCCTTGAAAATGGTTTAAATCGCCACTATTCTAAATAATGTTGCAAATCAGGCCTTTTTAATACTGTTTCCGTGAAACATATATAGTTATTTCGTGATCGTTTCCATTAATTCTAAGTGTGAAGATATAATTTCTTAATACAGAAGATATCCTTGTAAGAACAAGAAGATTGAATACAGACAGTGTTTCACAACTGTGGAACATTCATCACATCTTGTGCTAATATTGCAGAACATGTCTATTTACAACTATTTATATTAAGCATTTCTTCACACAGAGAACGTCATAGAACGCATTTTAAGTTGATTAGTCAGTTGCATGCAATCACCGGCGACATAGCTCGCTTATCAACATAATTACAACTACTTACGAGTATTGCTGCACCGTTACATAGAACACATTACTGTTACATATTTCCATGTAACACATTTAACTACAGTTATTATTGTTATCGTGTTATAAATACCTACCTACATTGTTACGGACTATTACAATGCCTATTCACTAATGATTATTGTAACAAAATATTACCGAAGTGCTTGGTGTTCTGTCCGAAGGCTCGGCTATTATAGAAGACACCTTAAATTGTAACTAGAATACACTCCTGTGAATGAATTACTTTGTCATCGAACGTAAATTGCCCGGTTCCCGTCACAAAACTACATTCCATTTCCATTGCAAAGTCCTAACAGTTACGAAAGTTGTTTATCCTCAAATTAATCACTTCCACATACAAACATTCATTTACTTTTGTAAATATAAAGCTATTCAAAACATGTAAGTAGGTAAACAAAATAAGAAACAGTTATAATTGACAAAATGTAGGCGTGTAAAACGCCTCTATCTATCCCTACGAGGATTTACATGCAAATGAATGTGTAACTAAACAATGATTTTTTTTGTTTGTAACAATCTAGCACTAACAATATATCCTATATCGCGAGGGACTTTACAAACATACATGAAACAAACACATAGAGCACCCAGACTCAGAACAGCAATTTGTGGATCACACAAAGTATTGTCCCATGTTGCGATCAAACCCACAACACTCAGCGCAGTAGGAAGCGGCAAGGTTACCGCTTAAACCACTACGCCATTGGTGCAGTCAGTCAATAGTACTTATAATTATTTACTACAATACTAGCGATATGAGACATCTCTTAGTATCATTTCAAATTTCAAGTTCAAGGTGCCTTGAGAAACCTGCCTCTGTCGTGTACAACTCATGAGTTGATTGAATCAGTTGTATTCACGTATTCAATGTTTCACAATCGGTTCTTTTCAACAATAATAGTAGTAAAACTTGTTTGTGTTATTCTACAATACAAAAAACAATTAATAGAACAATATATGAGTGTTCTTCCCACGTAGACACCAAACATCAAGCTCTGTCTCACACTAAACCAATGCTAACAATAAATCAAAATTCCCACTACATTACACTTGTTTACAAGTTCAACAACAGGTTACTTTTGAATCGTTCGTCCACAAACTAAAATATCACATCACATCAATCACATCAACAGCCTATAATAGTCCACTGCTGGACATAGGCCTCTCCTTAGAAAGGTGGTTTTGGCCTACTATACCACGCTGGCCAGACGGGTTGGTATAGGGTTTGTTTCACGTTTTCCTTCTCTTTGCAGTGCTGTTGTCCTGCGTAGTTTGCTCCCTTAGTCGGCTCTTACGACACCCACGAGATGAATAGGGGTGGTGACATTCCGTATTTGTAATCCGTCACCACACGGACGGAACTAAAATATTAGCCAATGATTACATTAATAACAAAATACACTCACATGTTGAACCAAAATCATAATTTGATCCCACTGCCGTTGTAAGAGTCAAACATAATACTATATAGCCTTCAAGGCGGCGTTTTGGAAATTATCTATCCTTAGTCTAGATAATTCCCAAATGATTCTAAATGTTGCAAGTAGTTGAAGCGGGTAATGACGCGGGTTATTTTCATTACATACCAATATATATAGACGCTGCTCGCGCGGGTTACACGTACGGGTCTTGCTTGTTTCAGAGTTGAAACAGTTCAATACCAGGGTACTTGTACACGGTGTAGTAGCTGGACAATTCTTATGGAATCATTTGTTAATAATGTTATTCTACTTTGGTTAATAAACCTAGGCCGCGCCGCAAATCGTGCGCGCTAGTACATGCTCAAGTCACTGGACCCGCGTAGTCCTTTTCGCGAAGCATATAACAATCAACTTGCGTAAGCTATTTGCATCGTGTAGAAGCACCCTTATATTAAGGGTTAAAGTTTGTGAGTTTGTATGTTCCGGTACTACTGATCTGACTTTGAAACTTTTTGCACTGTAAGAAAGGTATATTATCCCTAAGTATTATAGACTACTTTTTTCCGCCATAACAACCGGGCGGCGCCATAGACAAAAGCTAGTAATTAGGAATAGATTAAAAGAGTTTGTAGGTTTAAAAAAAGGCAATTGCTGGAATAGGTCAGAACCTTTCAAATCCATGTAAATCTAACTCCCTGATCAGTTTATATTTCGCCACGTCAAACTTCATTTAAACTGTTTATTTGCTCCAGGGTTCCTGATAGACTTTATAAGCGGTCCTGTGTCGGTGGGGTTTACGTCAGCGGCTGCCATCATCATCGCGACGACGCAGGTCAAGGATATCCTGGGGCTCAGCTTCCCAGGAGGAAAGTTTTTGCAGGTATGAATTCGTTTAATCCTTGTACCCGTTACTATGTGGATTGTGTGACTGTATTCTAATAATTGAAACTACTGAAATTGTACTAAATAAATACACAAAGTTTCACATAGATTAGCCTTAACTATTCTAAAACAAAAAACTATCCTAGTGCTTAGTATTATCCTAAATTATAGCACTATCCTAAGATGTGAATCTAAAGAAACGATGTTTGAGTAGATAAACATTGGACTCGTAATAAGTGACAACTGCCATTACAAAAGTCTATCACTTTTATTAAGCGGATTGTTGAGCCCCGAGACGGCGGAGGCGTGATGTTTTTAGTCGGTTCGAGTCCGAGAAAACAAGAATGACGTAGTTTCATTTACATTCTATTTCACCCTTAGGGTGATGCTTTTCCTACAAATTCAAATGGCACCTAACGTAAGTATACCCTGCTATTTCCGAATCGGTAGATATATGGCGAGTTCTAAGGTAACAAACATAAAAGAGAAAAATACAAACGAGTTGAAACCCCTACTCCTTTTTGAAGTCGGATAAAAAAGAACAATAAGTAATGGAGGTCAGCGAGACTCCTTACTATGTACGACTAATGTTCCTACTAATCATAAAAAATGGTATTTGTAACGTCATTGGCGATGAACAACATGAACCAGCTCTCGTTACCTATCGTTACTACACTAATTGGAGATCGGCACAGACATATATTTATTTATCTCTTTATTGTACACCATTGACGTATTATTTATACAGATATTAAATACATTTCGGTATAACAATAGGCGGTCTTATCGCTCACGGCGATCTCTTACAGACAATCTTTATACGGATATTGTCAAAAAATATATATACAATAGATTTGTTGTATTTTCTAAGCATTTGACAAAAGAGATTGTTGCTGTGTGTGTTTAGAGTGTAAGACGATTTCAAACGATAAAGAAAAAGAAGAAAGAAAATGAAATAAAGATATTTTGAGTTTGAATTTGATGCCTTTCAGAGAGTTGACGGGCCTGTTGGTCTAGTGGTTAGTGGCCCTGACTGCTAAGCCGGGAGGTCGTGGGTTCGATTCCCACCCAGGACAAATATTGTGTGATGAGCACGGTCATTTGTTCTGTGTCTGGGTGTAATTTATCTATAATATGTATGTATTTAAAAATATATAAGTATGTTTATCAGCAGTCTGGTTACCATAGCATAGGCTCTGCCTAGTTTGGGATCAGACGGCCGTGTGTGACATGTGTGAGGTTATTATTATTATTATTAACAGTGTGCAAGTCAAAACTCAGACGTTTGGCAGTAAAACATTATTGGTAACCAATTCTTCAAACTGAAGTCCCTGATGACTATAACAACAGCCCATTTCATGTAAATGAAATATATTTAAAGAAATGTTTCTCTCCCGTTTCAGGTATGGACAGGCATGTACGAGCACATCGGTGAGACACGTCTGTGGGACACCGTGCTCGGGATCTCCTGCATCATCGTGCTGCTATTACTCAGGGTATGTTATCTTCTATCCATTGAAAACCTTTTTAAAGCATCCACAAGAGAACAGAAGGTTCAATTCACGTAATTAAAATCGTTCAAAATTCAATTTTAATCTACTTTCGATTTCGCAAATGTTATAAAAGGTATTCTCGTAGTAAAGACCTTCAGGCTACCCTAATTGAATATCCAGCTGCTTATTCAATTCTCGAAATATTTTGAAAATTGCACGGCGGCTGTGGGTTCGATCCCCACATGAGACTACACTTTGTGTGATCCACAAATTGTTGTTCTGAGTTTGAGTGTTCTTTGCGTCCGTTTCATGTATGGATTACACACGTTACACAGTATATACTTATTCATATGCGGGAGTTGTCTTTAAAAAAAAAATGATTGTTGATTTACTCTATGATATAAAACTAAGTGTATCTATTTAAAAATGCTGCAGACAGGTCAACTTAGAATACCACTTCACAGTTCTTTATAAACACTCCTTTCCATAAAACGGCTACCAACAGTAGTCAAATGACCAGCGACTAGACACAGCATATATAAAAAACGCCTGCACGGATGCCGAAGTGGTTTAAGCAGTCACCTCGCCGCTTCCTACTGCGCTGAGTGTTGTGGGTTCGATCCCCACATGGGACAACACTTTGTGTGATCCACGAATTGTTTCTCTGAGTCTGGGTGCCGTTTCATATATGTTTGTAGAGTCCCCTGCGACACAGGATTTATTTCTAGTACGGGAGAAAAAAAGAAATTTCAATTTGAGGAATTACGTTAAACCTTTGTTGGTGTGTGAGTAATGACCACATCAACAAATATGTACAACACCTGTAAGTAGTGTAGTGTTGTGTTATCTCCCGTATGTGCACACAGCTTTAGTTTGTTAGCTTACCTGTGTAAATATTAAGACAATGAAATGAGGAAGGCACTCACGATAATACAAACAAAGCTCCCTGATATCAATGTATATAACACATAATTTTGTAGCAATGGTTTTCTAATAGTTGTGGCTTAATTTTGTTATCAAAATTAAGCGACAACTTTTGTTATAAGTAATATACCTTAGTATAAAACTATAATATTCCTAAATATACAAATATTTTATATTTTCTTATCAGATTTTCTATGAGCTGTGTATCTGTATGTTTGCGTATAACATACAGACAGTATTTATTATGTGTTTGATTTTGTTATGGTATGTAGGTATAATTTATATCACATACTATTATTAGCTTTCTGTTTTTTTCTATAGATTCTTTAACTTTGTCTACCCTCATACCATAAGCTGGCTTAAGTTGGTATAAGCTACTTAATTTTATTTATTTTGTATAATATAGGACAAGCAAACCTACAGCTCTCCATACTTTATTTAAGGAACTGCATTTTTTTATTAAATTCCAGAAAGTAAAAGACATAATCGTATCACCCAAAGTGGACGCGGAGTCTGGCGTGATGGAGGGGGGCGGGTCACGGCTGCGCCGGTCCTTGGCTAATGGGCTGTGGTTCCTCTCCACCACAAGGAACATTCTCGTGGTGCTGGTGTGCGCTGCGCTTGCGTACTACTTCGACACGCAGAGAAAAGCTCCCTTCGTCCTTACCGGTAAGCAATGCTGATTGTTTACTTGGATGCATCTCATTAAATATAAATTATAGTTTAAAAAAACGCTTTTGTAACCAGCCGAAATAAAAAATAGACAATGCGTAGGGTGCTCGATGTCAAGTGTTGTAAATATTTTATTGACAGATATTGGTAAAAGTTATTATAGTATATCTTAAAAAGCGCCAAACGCTCGTACCGTTCGATGCCCAGAACACAATAATAGACAGCAGCGGGACGTGAAGGAGCGCGGGGGCAGGGCGACACACGACACGCATGCCTTTAAGTGTGTGAGTTACATCCGTACACTGCACATGCGCGCATATTCCTGTCTACGTACAGTCGAGTCGACTTGACTGTATGCACCTTCGTTAAGTTTCCATCGGCCCATACCACCGGCCCATAATAAAGCGTTTTAAAAATGGGCACACAGAAAACCACTGTTAAGAAGTACAATTTATTCGACTCTTGACTGGACAAGTGCCCATGGGCGACAGTAGTCACTTACCATCAGGTGACCTGTCTGCTCGTTTGCTCCCTCCTCCTCACATCATAAAGAATCTAACTTTCGTCCCTTGAATCTCATGTCAAAGGCAAAAGAATTTAATGGTAAAGGCGTTATAAAGAAATCCCAATTTTCAAACTGAACATCATTTGTTATGATATATATGATATTTGTCCGTGTGGTGACGGATTAAGAATACGGAGTGTCACCACCCCTGTTCATCCCGTGGGTGTCGTAAGAGCCGACTACCCAGGACAACAGCAATGCAAAGAGAAGGAAAACTTGAAACAAACCCTATACCAACCCGTCTGGCCAACGTGGTAAAGTAGGCCAAAACCTCCTTTCTAAGGAGAGGCCTATGTCCAGCGGAGGTCTATTAAAGGCTGTTGATGATGATACGATATTTGATACATGGACTAATAACCCTTCTTAGTTTAAATACGAAACCTCAACGAGTCAGTGGCACAGCATGTTCTCTGTTGCAGGCGAGGTGAAGCCAGGACTACCGGAGGTGTCGCTGCCGCCGTTTTCGGCGACAGTTGGAAACCACACTTACACTTTCTCTGAGATGGCGTCTACTCTTGGTTCTGCCATCTTCGTCGTTCCTCTACTATCTATACTCGAGAATATCGCGCTAGCTAAAGTCTTCTGTAAGTATTTAAATAAGGATATTTAGGTCAATGGTAATATTCGCTTGCTTCTTGCATGACCTATACTTAAATGCGTATATGTAGTATATGAGTCACAGAAGGGTGTAGGTATTCCTATTTTACAATGAATATGTGTAGCTGATATTAGACGAATTACCTAGTCTGAAAACCCTCCTTTCTAAGAAGAGGCCTATGTCCAGCAGTGGACTGTTAAAGGCTGTTGATGTGTGATGTGATACCTCGTCTGAAAAACATTTTAATTATTTTTTTAAAGGGAAATGTTTGTTCTCATACAGTTTCATTCATAAAAATCTTTTCCTTTACGTCTGTTTCTTTATATTAAATCATGTTATGTACCCATACCCTTGGGTACTGGATCTTGTACATGTTCAACTATATGTGTATGATTTTGTCGTACAGCGGAGGGCAAGTACGTGGACGCGACGCAGGAGATGGTGGCGCTGGGCGTGTGCAACATGGCGGGCGCGCTGGTGCACTCCATGCCGGTGTCGGGCGCGCTGTCGCGCGGCGCCGTCAACCACGCCTCGGGCGTCGCCACCACCGCCGGCGGCCTCTACACCGGCGCGCTCGTGCTGCTGTCGCTACAGGTAACCTACCTCGCTTTATCCTAATAACTAAAAACTCAAAGAAAATACTACTTGTAACAATCTCACATCATCACACATCAACAGCCTTTAATAGTCCACTGCTGGTCATAAGCCTCTCCTTAGAAAAGAGGTTTTTGCCTACTATACCACGCTGGCCAGACGGGTTGGTATAGGGTTTGTGTCAAGTTTTCCTTCTCTCTGCAGGGCTGTTGTTCTGCGTAGTTTTCTCCCTTAGTCGGTTTTTACGACACCCACGGAATGAATAGGGGTGGTGACACTCTGTATTCTTAATCCGTCACCACACGGACTAACACAATCTCATAAAGCTTTTAAATTCGACAAAATCATCTTCACACGAGAAGCAACGTCGTAATAATGATGAATAAAATTAGAAAACATAAAAGACGCCAACATTTGTGGCATTGTAACATTAGCCAGAAACTCCTCCTAACGACAGGTAGTGACGATAGCACCATATAGGGTACGGGAGGATATGGAGATTGATGAAGATGAATAGACTTAATAATGATAAAATAAAAATCATAAAAGTTGCTACACTGTTTAAACATTGGCCAATAAATCATAAACAAATAGGTAAACAGGTAAACTAATAGGAAAAGATAAACAACAATGAACAAGTACTCACGTATGTACCTACATGTTTGCATTGCAGTACTTCACGCCATATTTCTACTACATCCCAAAAGCTTCGCTCGCGGCGGTCATCATCGCCGCCGTCGTGTTCATGATGGAGCTTCACGTCTTCAAGCCTATATGGAGAACTAAGAGTAAGTAAAATGAAGTCTTCAAATAAAAAGCTACGAAACTTTCTAAGATGTTCATTATGAACATATACAAATTCTAAGTGTTTAGACATGTGAGGCAATTTCTGTACATTTGAATTAGCGAAAAATAACTATAGGTACATTAAAACGAAAACAAATTCGTAGCAGTAGTACAACCGCTTGCACATCAATAACTCCATGTTTATCTTATTCAGGAATATATGTATTCGTTCTATAAAAATGTAATGCTTTGATTGTAGGTACCTAAGTTATATACTTACTTCTTTGTCAGAATTAGACATAATCCCAGCCGTGGTGACGTTCGCGACTTGCTTGATGCTGCGGCTGGAGCTGGGCATCGTCATCGGCATCGCAGTCAACTTGGTGTTCTTGTTGTATGCTTCTGCAAGACCTTCCGTGAAAGTCTCCACCGCCGTTGTGAGTAGTACACATTACAGTGTCGTTTATATTTACAGCAATTAATGCGCTCACGATAGGTGTTAACCTCACACCTTTGAATTTCCTGATGTTTCGACTGAGTTGCAACGGCCTGGGTCACAGGTTGACCTGTGGTGGCACTCAGCCGTAACGATAAACGTAATTTAAGTACTTTTTTTTTAATATAACTTATGACTTAACCATTTGAGACGCGTCAGTAACTGTGTGCGTGTGTGGAGCGCAGTCGCCGGATGGCGTGGAGCACGTGGTGGCGGTGGTGGACCGCTCGCTGTCGTTCCCGTCGGCCGAGTTCGTGCGGCGCGCGCTGCGCAAGGCGGCGCAGCGCCACGCGCACGGCGCGCCGCTCGTGCTGGACGCCACGCACGTGCAGGCCGCAGACTTCACCGCCGCCAAGGTACCCGCCTATTCTATACTCTACCTACCTACATAACACATATAAACTGATCTACCTTATGTCTCTGAAGATTGAAGACGTCTATTGTTATTGAGCCAATTCATGAGCATCTTTGTAGGAAATTATCATTTTTAACGGATCGACAGAACTGTGCACTATCAAATTGAATGTTATTGTTGTAACCTTGCAGGGCATCAAGGCGTTGATAGACGACTTCCACCAACAAGGCCAACCCATCATTTTTTACAACGTGAAGCCGTCGATCGCGGAGGTGTTCCGCGGCGTTCGTCCGCGCGAGTTTTTGCACTGCTCGTGCCGGCCCGAGCTCGACCGCCTGCTGCTGGAGACGAGCGCGCGCTCCAGACGTCCTCCACCCCCTAACATCTGTTAGTCTACTCACTGTGTTCTACTCCCACTCTTTTAGTATTCATAAATACTCACCATAAAATTCTATAAATTACCAAGTATTCTAAGGTAATTGTTTATTTCCTGATTCGGGATGTACCTACCGTCTACACATTTATTACAGTGGAACTTATTAATTTGACAGTCATAAGTAGTTTATCCAATATTAAACTTTTTTCTATGTGCAAACAAGACATACTCTTTTAAACTTATATATTTCTTACATTATTTATTACAGAGATTAAGAATCGAGCGCGTGTGAGTGGTCAGCTGGCGTAGTGCAGATCTCTGGGTACCTTGACGAAGCGAGACGAGCCGAGACAAGATGAGACGAGACAGTATTTATTAGCATACGTATATATTTATACATCTAATGTAGATAGTGTAAGTGAGCTGTTGACTGTCCCAGTGGACAAGCTAATAAAGTGTTGGTTATATTATATTCACTATAGTTTTATTGTAAAGTGAGCCTTTTTACATCGCCTCTGTACAAACCCTCTTCCGTAGGCAAATATTTATGAGTCACCAAAATTATCTCTGAAGATAATTTACTAAAACTAGTGTAATTAATCACTGTCGGTATCTCTCCTTTATCGGTCGGCTGAACCGGAATCACATAACGACGTCACAGAAAACCGGTGATAGCAATTCTATCGTTTCTTTTCATCGAGCTAGTGAAATGATCGGAGGCACAAGCTCCCCAAATTGGGAACTTGTCTTATGAGTTGCAGATGTACTCCTGTCTGTCTCGTGTATAACTCTTCTATACGATGGAAAAATCGACATAGAAATGGCATTGTACGCTTTAATCCCGTAGTGCGAGGATCAACATTGCCAGAAGGTAGTTCGGTATCCTTAACTTGCTCCGTCACGTTTAAGCCAAATGCAATTTAATATGTATCATCACTACTCATCACCTAGTCTCTCTGTGTTGGAAGAGCATCCTTTACCATTCGTCGTCGATATTTAGAAGCTCCTCGGCAAGAGCTGAAGGTTTTTTTCAGGAACGAAAAAGTTATCCGCTTTTTTTACATTCTAGATCTAGAAGTTATCATACCATGGCTGTTAGACAGGATTTGAAATCATATGTGCAGTAGTCACCCGTCCATTCTAGTCTACTTACCCATATTACCATAAAATACGCATTTTGTTACTTGCTACAAGCCACATACTTGCAAAAACACTGACTGGAAATACTAGTACCATACGAAGCAACGATGTGAGCGGAAACTCTGATCGCCCAGAATAAAACTACCAGGTGCTAACCCTCAGAGGGTGCTGGCGGATCTCTCCCATGAGATTTAAAGGCGGAAATAAGTAGCCGCTTGCCGAACCGCGATGACTCGCTCCACGTCCATTTGACTTTGGCGCCATGGTGGCAGTAAAGCCGATCATCGTCTAGAAGGTAGGGTGGCAGCACGGGACTCTTTCCTTTCGACTGACGCAGGTCTTTTCTGGGTACGTCTACTTAGACAGGTACCAGCAGTCGTTCGCTAGGAGTGAGTTGAATCCGTCTGAGGGATCCAATCTCATAGTAGGAGGCACTCGCATTGACATCGAGTCCTCCATGAGGTATCTGGGGGTCGTGATCACGGGACTCGACAAATCGAAGACCAGATATCCCAATTCTGTCAGGTGCTCATGGAGGATTCGAAGGAAAGACTTAGGCAACCAAGCGCTGAGCACGCCATTATAGCGGCGGTGAGACCTGTTATGGAGGTTTGGCCAGAAAGGTAACACGGGACCCTCTCATACCGGCTGACGCAGGAGATCACCTGTCTCTGATCCGCAAGGAACCAAAGCCTGGGTGCCACCATTGCGGTGGCCAGAGCGTGGACACCGCGCTTTACACGCTGCTAGATTGCCCGGCGTGGCGTGGGTGAAACAGAAGCGTGGATTCTCTAGCTTGGTACCATGATTGCGGCCATGGCACGTGGAACTCCGGCACATTCTTCTGCGAGTAAGTTATGCTCGAGAAGGAGAGGGTGGAGAGGGACCTGAAGATGCCTAGAACTCTCCCAGTCCGCTGAATGGCTTCCATCCTGCATAAGTGCATGCCTGGGGGTGACAGGTAAGGCCATCTGTCACCAAAAAAAAGAAAGGCCCGGGCGTCTTAATAAACGCTGTTATCGGATCCCCCCAATTTCAGGCGCATTGTGTGGTTTTAGTCTGTTCGATACACCGCCTCACCGCAAATCCCGATGGGATGACAGTCCCTGGGGGTTTCCACACGTAAAATAATTAAAGTTCTAGTAAAGAAATGAAAGCTAAAATTTGTTTTTGGGCGCCGATGAGATGCTTGCCTAGGGCGCTCTTGATACTTAATCCGCCTCTGCTGTGGTCCTTTGTATTGTGAGGGAAACAAGTCACTTGGTTGATTAAAAACAAGGTATTCTCTTCTATTAAAAGCCAAAAATCGATCTATGTGGCGTGCAATGGGAGAGGCCTATGTCCAGCAGTGGACTGCGATAGGCTGATGATGATGATGATGATTCTCTTCTATTAAAGTTTGTCTCCTATAAAAGAATAAGAATAAAGAAAGCTCATCAAGCGATCTAAAGACAATTTTCTTTCTGAAAGTACTCTTCACATTATTGTCTAATAAATTATTTAGTGTTCACGGCGTCAATTATCACCGATTCTGAGTGATAATTATATTCCATTCGCGTTAAGAAAATAGTGACGCATAGATAAATAAGCTGTTACATTTGAACCCGAAAATATATTGTTTTCCACATTACTTAATTTTTCAAAAATAGGAGTAGGAAGTATACATAAGTACAAGGGGAAATATACCTTGCCAAATAAAAAAAGAATTTTCATCATTGGTTTACAAATGAAAGAGTTTTGAGGTAACAAACATGAACATAACTGCGTAACAAACATTATTTTTGTCTAAATATTTTTCGGTTACAAAAATATTTTTTTTATTGGTCCACAATCGACGCAGATATCGCGTAACAAACATACAAAAAAAACAGACAAACTGATAAACCTCTTTTGTGTTTTTGAAGTCGGTAAAAATATGAATGCAGTGCAAGTGGTTGTGGCGTGTGTGGGGGCTCAGTATGGGTTTATTTCACACCAACTCGCTTTCGACGGTGATCGCGTTGAGACTTGTAAAGAGTTTGGTGAGGGATGTGACATAAACTTACTTTAGGCTCACCGATGCCAATTATGAAATGATTAAGGAACAAAAGGAAACTAACACATAAAATCGCCTGTGAAAATAGACTATCAACTATATTCCACTATCAACGGTTGATAAATTATACAAAACTAACTCAAAGAACCAAGTGGATGTACCACAGATGGTCAGCTATGTCATTACGCTTTTATTTTATTTCAAAAGAACATTTAGATTCAGATAAAAAATCTATCAAAATACAATTTGTTACACAAATGTAAGTTCTTGAAATTCCACCGTGAATACACCTTTACCCAGATGCGTCACTATTTTCTTAAAGCGAATGGGCTATGTACGAGTATAGTTGATACTCTCTACACACGAATATCTTTAATACGGGGATATAGTGATGTCTGAGGAACTAGTGGACAGCAAATAAAACACAGAGCTAGAGATAATGAAATGCTGTTTATTTTACAATCATGGACACACCCCCGGGTGCGGATCGCACAGCCATCGCTATCAGCGGACGTTCTTACAAAACCTTACTTTTTGGTTACATTACTATTCGTTTAGAGATTACATTGGAATTACATTACGTTACTTAACTAAACATTCACTAAGCTTATCCATTACGTCGCACCTTCAGTAAATCAATATAAAATGGCTAAATAATACCAAACTCTAACTGATGCTTACGTAGCACCTTTGAGTCTGACACACATACTCACATACACACACACACACACATACATTGAGCAGCGACTCACAGCGTGTTCGCCAAGAAACTCGCAAGTTTGTCTTCAAAAGGAAGTTCGCTAAGGAAAAGTGAGCAGGAATTTATCGTAGGCAGTGTTCCCACTTTAGCATTCTTGGATAGTATACAATAACAGTATTACGTGAGACCTCCAATCAAAATACTTGGCACATTGCGCTCGACGCAGGGTTCTTCCCGCTCCAGATTGAATGTATCAAATACTCAGTGTGGACGTCGGCCAATAACATGGTCTATAAATGATGTGCGTGTAGCATTACACACACACACACACACACACACACACCCAGCCACACTCACCCACACACACGGAGATCAGCGCGTGACGCAGCGAGCCGACGACATCTCTCACATTTAGAATTTTTTAAATCTTATTACGTAGTTATTATTAAGAAATAGATTGTTTAATTTTAATTGATTGAATTAATATGGAATATATCAAATACAGGTCAGTCGCCGCTGCGTCACTCCTAAGCAGAGATCTCAGACCTCTAACAATGTGAAGGAAAACTGGACATCAGTGCATTCTCTCACACACACACACACACACTGTTATATATTTGGTATCACATACAAGCACACACATACGCACATAGCTAAAACAAAACGGCACTTACTAACGATATGACACGATGTGTTTAAAACATATGCTCGCCCTCCGAGTCGTCCATATAAAATATTTTAGAATTCAATAATCACAAAAATTATACTAGAGTAGGATAAATCAAAAAGGCTAGCAACACCTTACGGACGGCGAGTATATTTATTGCACTCAGTGTTGCCGGAGCTAAGTGATAAAAAAACACCGTCCGTAAATTGAAATCTAGCAAAAATTAACAAAATATAATTAACCTCTAAGTTCAGACTCTCCGCGCCCTACAACCTGTACCGTACCGTCGAGTGCGAACGTTCCTTTAGTATATGAGTATTCTGTTTGATTATAATTATCTTATCGATATAAAAGGAACATTTACACTGGACCAGGGTCGCTACCTTACACTACATTTTATCGGCCCCTATTCACTATACACCACTATAAAATAAATATGTTTAATGACACGCGTGGCTCTCATTTCCTATCACAATTCCAATTATAATACAAACTACGTGTGGGATTAAGCATGTTATTTTAGATGCGGTCCATAGCGAACAAGCGCCAAGATCGAGTCCACACTGGTGTAACAATTCGCTTACATTCCGTACAGTGTACAATTGAATACTTAGTTTAAATATAAATGCATTACAATCTCGCGACGTGATGTGTACGTGTGAACGAGTGGCCTTAACTAACAGCACAGCTCACGTCAACGCCGCGAGGCTGGCTCCGGCCGCTCGACGTGAGTCAATTTCTATCGCTTTTCCACAAGAACTTTGTCTTTTAATAAGTGAACGAACGAAAGAAACCTTAATCTAAAGAATAATTCGTAAAGACTAATATAAAAAGAATCTCTTAGATTTAAAACTCAAAAACATTTTTGCGCGGTATTCGTAACGTCCGCGGTTCAACAACGTGTATAAACATCACTAAATGTGTAAACGTTTTAAAGCCAACGCTACAACTTGTCGCACCGATAGACTTGAGCCGACACCAGACGTGCGCTCGCCGAGTACCAGCCGAGTACACACCAACAATCCGACAACTAATCCGATCTCACAACTCATATATAGGATTAAAAATAGTGAGAATAATACTTTTAAAAGATATAAACTAAGAAAGAAATTAACTCGGTAGAAGATAGGCATCGGAGTACCTCGTGGCATAGCGCCCCCACAAGTAAGGGCGCTATGTCCTGGCAGTGGCCCGCGGCAGTACCAGCGAGCTCGCACCTTTCATCCATCCTTACGATAATTACGAAGACTAAGAGTGTATATAAGTTGAGTAACGACTACGAATGTATAATTAAAGTTCCCTCATCACAAGTTCGTTGGCACGGGCGGCGCTCGGCCGTCGAGTGAGACTTGCGCGGCTACACTACGTACGTACGCTACCAGAGATTACAGCACAACTCTAAGTTGGCGAAAGTGTACTTAGAACATGTGAGGCTACACATTCAGCCCCCTACTACGATCGAAGGTTCGTATTTAAAATATACTATAAAGCTGTTATATTATACTCTACGTGTATAACCTGCCACGAATGGTACGAACGCATTGTATTGTTGTTTGGCTCGTACCAGCTACTAGCATTTTGGTGGTGTCTTGGAACTTTTCAAAAGACGATGGAAATCGTCGCCGCGACAATTTCTAAGAAAATATATTCATCTCGATACAAAGTTAGTTTGCAAAGTCTGGAGTTTGTACTTTATGTAGACAATCTTTTGCCTTGCTTCTGAGGGCACACAATTATGTCCTAATCCAAAATAACTAAAGTTCCAAGAAGCATATTGTTGTAGTACTCTAAACACTAGGGTGGTATGTCGGGTCGCCTTAGTACTTCAGAAGATCTTCATCGAGTTCCGTGAGAGCCATTTTACTGTCTATCGCTGGAATTACAAAAAATAATTTAATTAGTATTTAATTTGTGGCATCATTTATGTAACTATAAACAACAACTTAAGACGCTTAAACAGGGTATATTTTTGGAAACTACATATATAATTTACTGGCGGCTCGAAAGACCAAGATATCTCAACCTAATAACTTTAAATCAATATTGTTTTTATGATTACGTTGAGTCATAAACCATAGCAACTTTATTTTCAAAATAAGCTCGAAGTTAACCATTAAGTAACCTCATTAGGTAAAGACACTTTATATTTAGATACTGTATCAAGTCATTGGTAAAATGATATTGGTTTTTGGACTTACTTTGGTCCGGGATAGTAGTACGGTGGTGGTCGCTCGTACTCAGTAGGTCCGTGGTAGCGGGGAGGGCCTTCTTCCCAGTGCCTGTAATTCCATCACCTTGTGTTACACCATGGATATAAGCGTGTCAGTGACCAAAAACGTGTGATGAAATAAACACCTTGCAGTCAACAAGTGAGCACATACTATCACATTGTGTCCGATGGCGTCACCCAGTGAATAAATTGTGTCTCCCAGTGAACAGAATTGGTCATTCGGTGAACGGTTTTTCCGTATTACCTATCGATATTTATTTCGTGTGGAATTTAAAGATTCATTCGTTGCTTGATGTGATAGGTGTATTGTTGATAGTGCAAGCCAGGCTCGAATCTGTGATGAACTGACTAGGGATCTACCAACGCAAAATACAAATAATTTTGTGATCTAAGGACGTGGTTCTCAGTATGGAAGTAGGTACTTGAAATGTTATAGAGTATTATCCTAAGACGGGTTGTTGTGCCCTAATTCAATGTTCGTGTTGAGCGTTCATAAAGCCAGTGCACTCCGAGTTCATTCACAAACTGTACTTACAGGTATTGACTATTAGCCAATGATAGCAACTTGATCACCTTATCATACCTTAGGGAACACAGTAAATGTTACTTCAAAAGAAGATCCAACTAACTGTAAGTATGTAAAAGACTATTTCTGGTATGTGTGTTTCATTTCACGTGTGTGTGTCGTGTGTTTGGGTTAGTTTGTGTGTGTGTTTGGGGGTATGTGTATGTTGTGTATACTCACTTTGGCGCCATATCATTATATCTGCGCGCGTGGTATGCGTCGAGAGGCGGCGCCAAGGCGGAGTCAACGCGCGCCGGCCCCGCCCCGCCCCCTCGCCCCTCCCCCTCGCGGGCCCTGCCCCCTCGCGCCTCACGCCCCTCCCTCCCCTCGCGCAAATCGCGCCCGTCGCGCCCCGAACGTTTCTCAGCCTTGTAGGCGCTACAGACACACAACACATACATCAGTGTACCCATACCCGAAGTGGACGCCGACAATCAGTCGCGGCAATCTGTACACGATGAGGCCAAACTAAACTGAGGCTAAAGACTCAATTAATGTTACAACTTGCCTGTCTATTAGATACGACATAGCTTATACATTTCAAGGGAATGACCGATACAATTGAATGTTAATTCATTTAGTTATTAATTAATTATGTATTTTTAAGAAATATTAAACGGCCCATTAATATCATATTGTTATAACACAATAGAGAATACAGAAAAAGCCACATATATTAGTTTCATGCGCAGTAGTTACTATACACACTCAACACACATATATATACAATTTTAGCTGCTATTATTGGATGCGACATTTAATAAAACCACTAAAGTTTCCAAACCGTAATTTACTTCATACTGACGTAGAAATACTAAGACAGACGGAAGCAACTGACACGAGACATACCAGCGGAGGTCACTCTACAGAGAGCCACTCAAGTTTAAATTCAACAGGAGCCTTAAGAGATTACTACACTGAGCTGACACGCGATATTTCATTTTTACATTGACATGGAAAAATAGTAAAAAACACATATTTCATCCACATTTCAGATGCTCTTAGGTTTTGAACTGGTTTTGTCTCCATCCCTTTTGGCAAATGTCAAATATGACAGGTTAATATAAAAAATATTTACTGTAAAACCAAGAAAGTCTTAGGTGTATTTAATAATAAACCCGGCCTAGTTAACGCCAGATGATAACATGCTAAAATAAAGTGCTCTTGTTGCATAGCAACGGCAAATAAACTCATACAACGGACAGACGTGTCTGTGTGTCTATCACGACAAACATACAGACACGTGAACATACTTTGCAAACGCGTAGGTCGAACGTGGTCACGTCAGTGTAGTGTCTCACACTACCTTAACACCGATACACAGCTACAAGTTAGAACATAGAACACAACACAAGCGCACGATACACGGACAGTGAAGCTCTACACAGAAGGGTCGCTACACACTAGGGTGGCAAATGTAATACGAGTGTTATGTTACCGGCAAGGTTCAGGGGTGACCGGCGCACATCGCGAGCGGTGCGGCGAGTGCGAGTAACCTCAGCCATTGTTACGTCACCACTTACAAGCTAACTTACAACTAGTTTAATCACTTTCAGTTGGAGGACGAACAACATTAGTTTAAAAATTGAATATAGCCCTATCTACACTTGCTTACTCTAAGGATTGTTACCTTACAATGTAGGTATAAATGTGAAAACACCGATATGTTAATTAAATACACACGATAAGTAACAAACATTAGTTTACATACAATGGAAGCGGGTTATATATAAAAGTGTCCTTATATAGGCTGTTTCTACAGTAAGTGCAAGGCAATGTGTCAAAATATTTAATAATTTCTAAGAGCGATAGTTAGCGATATGCAGCGAGAGTCTCGACAAGTAACGTGTGTATACACACGTTATTCAAGTGATTTAATAATTGTCTGAAAGCGTTCCGAACGGGTCTTGAAATGTTTTATAACACATATACTAAAACGTCTTATACATGCGTCATTCGCGTATCTAATAACTAATCAGAGTAACATTATGAAAGCAATAAACACACTCAGATATGTATACCTATCTTATATTTTGATAGCTGAGTTGAGTTTCTAACTAGATTGAAATATTCTTATACATTGTGCTTGGCCGAGTCAGAAGTTAATTTAAACATAGTCCTTATTGTAGAAACACTATATAAATGTACAATAATATATTATGTTTAATAGATGATGACGCCTCACTCCGAGCTAGTGAGCCATTACTACAAAAGTGAGCAGTTACAAGTAAATCTGAATACATTATTAAGTCAATTCACTGCAGTGCAACATCGCAATAGTCTTATTATTATTTAGATGTACTGGGACGCTTATATATTAGTAGGTAGATATAATGCTGAGACGACTACTGTGTGTACATACAAAGTCAATATTATGTCACCAAAACCCTTACAATATAATCTAAATGTTTAGGAATACAAAATACAAGGACATATCAAACATGTACGTTACGTTAAAAACTTGTTTATAAGAATATATTTAAAGAAGCTTCGTATAATATTGTTGAGTAGTGCAAAATATTTTTTTATATTTTCCTTAAGCATTGTACAATACCTATCTACAGACATGGCACAGGAGACACACGCTTATTTCCACACTCATTGCAATTCCATCATTAAATCCATTCACAATTGACTGGTCTGTCACTGTGGCGTGTAGTAAACGTCAGACAGACCCAAAACGATTTATTTATTTTTGGCTTCTGCAACACGCAACTTTAAATATCGGTTCTTTTATCTATGGACTCAGTAAGTGATAAAAACTAACACATTTATGACAGACCCCTAGGGATAGTTAAAGCCATAAAAAAATATATCTTTTCACGTGTGAGCTGTCGAGACGAACAATATTTTTAATTGAGAAAGCCACACTTTGGCACATGTGTGCCAATGTATGTGTGGCATACAAATCCGAAGCCAAGTGCGAGTTTATTTCACTTCTAATCGATCGTCACGGAGACTGCGTTAGGTGCTGCGATTGTCACACTGAAATCTCCACCAATCACAACGCTAAACGCGCTCGCCGTCGAGATGAAATAAACTTGCACTCGGCCCTTTTGCATTAAAGAATTGTTGCGTTACACGTTTCACGCGCGTGCACATACGCACGTGAGACGTAGTTGTGACTGTTGAGTTACATTTGTCTATGGACGGAGGTATATACACTTAGGGGTCGAAATTATAAAAAAAAACTATGTATAGTATTGACATGGCCCCTTCTGCCCGTCTGCATTTATAATAAACCTAGTGTGGGTGTCTCCGCTGCCACTACCTACCTGCACGTTTCGCTGTAAGTTAAAGCACGATGGTGGGACTGGGGCGCGCTTTGCTCTCGCTACAGTATGGGACAAAAGTATCAAAACTATGCGGCCCCGCCCCGCCCTCTGTAGCCTGATAGGTATGCTTATAATATATATAGTGATTACATTACGCTTGTACCAGCGTTGCTGTGTAATATACAGAGGAGCATCGTTCGGACAAACATTGAGACCGACGTTCATCTTATATCTGTACTGAGACTGTAAACGGCGTGTGGAAAGTATTGTGTGTAATATTTGAGGCGTTTCCTCGACACGACTTACCGAACAATATGTATAGTTTAGCTCGTGGTTTCTACATTTTTTATATAATTTTTAGTTTTTAACAATTAAATACTTACTTAAAATGATGAGTCTCGTATTTAGTTAGTTGAAAATAATATAAAAATATGTATTAAGTTGTTACCGGGTTCAGATTATGTATTTAGATTATATGTATAAATTACGTACAGTAAATAATTATTTCCTAATTAAGTGTTCATAACACAGCGTCGCGGTTACGTAACGATGCTTGTCCGGACTCGTTGCTCACAATTTATTATATTTGTGTGTGGACGTGTTTGTTCTCCATCAACTATACAACTACATCTCATGATATCGCCCTGATATGATACGTTTACACCTTTGAATATGTTTTAGCTTATAGAATTTTTCTTAAAATATTTAACAATATAAGATAAAATGTTTTATAAAGTCACTAGACACGTAAAGAATATGAGCGTAAACATCGCTACACAAAGAGAAAAAATATTAACATTTAGAAGAGATCGTAAATTTGTGACGCGCGGAGTTTACAAACCCCTACAACATCGACGGAAGACAATTTAAAAAATCTAAAATCTGTGTAACACGTTTACGTTTCGACAGCAACCGTAGAATCAGCTCGGCTCAGTGCAAGCGCCCCGATAGAACAGTTCGGGACGTAACGACGCACACGTGGGTGGCGGTGTCGTTACTCGGCCTCGTGAATGCCGGACTCGTTGTCCTCGTCCTTGGCGTCGAGGCGCGTGCGCAGGTCGTCCAGCAGCGCGGGCGGCGGCACTAGCCGGCACACCACCTCGTGGCCGCGCGCCAGCAGCACGCGCGTGCCGGCCGGCCCGCCCGGCCCGACCGCCACCGGAGCAACCACCGGCCCGCCCGGCCCGCCCGGCCCGCCCGGCACGACCGCCAGCCCGCCCGCCTCCGGGGGCGGCGCGGACGGCGCGGACCTCTCGCGCCACTCCGCTATCTTGCCCTCGATGTCCAGCGTGCTACGCTTCGAGCCGCTACACCACGCGCGTTCAAATTATAGACCTCATGCGGAGCACGCTATCGGTAGATAAACTACAATAAGAGTCTCCCTGAACGCGTACTCGTCGAGTCGGCAGAAGACGAGTGCGACTCGGACTCGTTTATCTACCGATAACGGGCCTATCTCTAGTAGGTACACAGACCGTTAGTGCCGTTCGACCCGACCGTCGCCCGTCGTTAAAGTAACATGAACGAAATGAGAAAACATAACCGAAAATAACAAAACAAAAACAACCGGAGCCTGCCTTAAAACATCTCTCGCATGCGGGAAACACGCATGCGGTCGTCCACGATCAGCCGTACTCGTCACCGCTGACGTTTTATTAATTATTGCATGCTATTTATCTGCTCACACATATAATACAGATCGTCTTTGTACATTTCATATTATATACACGGTGACTACGGGCTTACATTATAGCTAGGTTACTCGTTACCTCGATAGATATAGTATATACATATGTCGCAAGAATACACATAATTATACATAAAATTGATAGAACCGAATGTAACAAGCTACAATAAATACATGCACGCGAGTGTACCTCGGCCTTAACTACAATACGAGATCCGGCGAAGCCGAATTCGTTATTGTTATAAAGCTCAATGCACACTCGACAGGTTGGATGACGGAGGTAATACAAAGCGCATGCGAAGGGCGTAGGCGAGGGATGGCTAGAGGTGGCTAGAGGTGGCTAGAGGTGGCTAGGGTGTCTGTGGGGCACTTACTTGGCAAGGGGTACGTTATCGCGGTCCGCGTACGCGTCATACAAATATTCGCTGTAACAGACAAGAGACAGGCGGTCAGCCATCGTCGCGACAGACCACTCGAGGGGAGGTATGTCGGCGTGTTGGCGAGGTCTTCTTTAGTACAAACACTGTCTGGGAGCCGGTAAACGATGGAACAGATCCAATGGGAAACGGGGAGCACCGGGAGGAAAGAAACCCACTACAACACTTATCTAAATATTATGCTGCAGGATCCCAGAGCCGTTTCTTGTCACAAAACTAAAATGGTGTAAGAGTAGAGTGGAATGTAAGTATCCCTGCATACTTGACAATCTTAAGGTAGTAGAGGCAAAAATACATAACAATTTTAATGACCGGCCTCAGAATAAGTTAACTAGTCTTTAGATAGAGTTACAGAAATAAGATAACTAATGTTTAATACCACTACTGGGATACAAATGAATTCCAAACATGATGATAGATTTCCCATAGTAACATAACGGTCTTGTATTGAGTTAAATCGAGACGGCTTTTGCTCGGTCAAGTTGCACCAAATAAGATTTGAATGCGCCATTAAGTTCAGAAAGAATTTCAACTTTGCCAACATAACGTGGATCTACGACTCTGGGAATGCAACGATGACGGTTGGTACTAACATGATCTTGGAAATGGTAAAATTGTCTAGATTTAGTAAAATATAGCTTGACTAATACTCATTAGTATTCTAAAATGTATCTAGTACTCAACTGTAAATATCTATTGTGTCGCTAGTATTAACATAGTAAATAACGTAACTTAATGTTAAGATGAGTGGATGCTGAACTAACACAAAATGTAAACCAACGTAACAAAAATACAAAATGGGAATAAACTACATGGTTACGCGTTCCACAGAACAACTAACTTTCTATATATTTGATAATATTTTCTTAGGGAGCATTCACTGCCTAACTCGAGAACTGTCTAATCACGGGTACTGAACACAAAGGGGATAAAATAAAAAAAAGCAATTGGAGATTACTAAAAGAAATAATGTACGTTCTATCATTGAGACAACGCTCGGTGGCAGGAATGGTTATCTAAATGTAGTAAATGACTCAGCACACTCGCTCATAAATCACGAATACGGCCTTAAACATTGATGCTCCGCCACGCACTGATTCCCTCCCGCCGCTCACACAAGTCATTATTACACTGCATGAGTTATAACCGCGTGTGCAACGAGTAAATAATATACAACTCCAAGCCCTCTCAAGTGTTAAGGGGAACTACTTATGGGTTTCTAAGTCGTTCAATGAACTAAGCGCTGTGTACATAACCCTAGTACTGTAATATATTAACATATAGATGTGAACAGGACAACAAATAGGTATAGCGACGCAAACAAAACGAGAATGCTACATTGGGTTACATTGCAGCGGCGCCGCGAGGACCACAAGCAATGGATGCGATAGCTTCATGCCGACCTACCGCTCGCTATGCAACATCGATGTGAACTAAGTACGAGGATACACCGAATAGACGCCTGCCTTGTTCATTGGTACTTAATATGCATTCGAAGTGCTGGTATATTATAATTCGATACACAATCGGCATTTAAGGACTGTAGCCCTACTATCCCATAGTAACTAAACTGAATATGAACTATGAATATGTATCATTTGATAAATATAAAGGATTCTAATATAGGTTAATACTTCGAGTATTTAATAATTTCACCAATTGTATTCATTCGTTAATTTTCGATTGTATTAATTCGATTCTCACTTTCACATTTTTTTTTTTATTATGCGTAATTTCTGAACCAATTTTAAAAATATTATTTGCGAATTTAATACGATTTCATCACTGAATTGCAAGATCACAATGCACATACAAAATTATACCTTTTTTATGTTTCAATACAACATATTACGCAGTCGAGTCAAGTAAAAAATTAGAGTTTTAAGAAATATTACAATTTTATAATTACATGACTGAAAAATTATACATAAATAACTGCGTAATACCAACGCGAGTGCAAAGGTCATTAACTGTGACAGCTGTCAGTTTGAAATATCTCAACTACATTTTTAGGGTTCCGTACCCAAAGGGTAAATGGGACCTTATTACTAAGACTGGACATACTCAATTCCCGTTTTTAGAATTTAACCGGTTTTAGAACTATCAAATAAATTAATTGGTTAGTGAAGTAACCAATCGCGACGCATATGTTTTAAAGGATATATAAGTAAACTCTATCCTAACATAATAAAAGTAGTTCACAAAATATGTAAACTTCATGACTAATGTACCCATAGGTAGGTATATATGTTTTGATCATTACGTTTAGATAAGAACAATTTCCATACAGATACTGAATCGAATTAGCTTTTATTAGGTCAAGTGAGGGCTACAATCCAGATCGTAGACGATAGACGTACTGCAGTGGGATGTGAAGAGCAATGAACAAGCGAGGTAGCTACAGGAACATCGTGCAAGCCGCTATGAGTCGAAGAGCACACGCCACGAGCGATTCTGCACACACCGCCCACTTACACCCACCAACATTGCGCACGTCATAATTGACTTCAAACATTATAACCGTCAGTGAAACAACTCTTATTATGTACATGTATTTTTATGTACTTATGTATTAAGTTTTTTATGAAATTTTGACAAATCAATGTCTTCCAGTTTTGGTCAAAATCGACTGACGTCGAATGCCATGCTATATGCTCGTTTAAATAACTTTTTACTATTGTTTATTTCATGACACCACATGGAAGTGTTCAAAATTTTTTTGCACATTTACAACTTTTTAAACTGTGTTGGTATGCGTAAGTGTGTCGCGGTGTGTGTATATTGTAATGTGTGTAAGTGTGTGTTACCGGACGAGGCGTAGGGTCATCGCCACCAACCGCGCGCCTGGCACATCGGCTCATACTCACTGCCAACAACACCCACACTTTTTACTGACAACCCTAGCGGTAAACAAACTCGGGGGAGCCTCGCAACGTCAAGGATTTTTGAGTAATTAGGGTTGTCACACTTAGTTTTAATTTGCAGAACAAAGTTTTCATATGATTTGACTTAATGTTATTTAATTGGCGCTAAAGGTATGCTACAGTCGGAAGGTTCACACAGTAGTTAATGAGGAACATACATGTTAGAGCACTCGTTACTATAAACCCTCTACATTGGATGGCGATGAAGTGAACGAACAGAAAAGCATAAAGTTAAAATAATTATAAAACAAACTACAGATTGACGCTACTCGCCATTTTTGTTGGCAAACGCCTTTTGCTGTGTATTAGTAAATATCGAGTCGTGACGTAGCGATAGCTCTTCAACCTAACACAAGCCGACACCGAGCACGGTAGCGACGATACGGCGTCCTACCGCAGGAATATCTAACCGTTAGGTACTGCCTGGATATGGAACAAAATATAATTCTTTGCTATCAAAATACTAAAGGACATTATTTTCGTTATACTGTAATCGAAATTGGATCGTTTTTTTAATAAGTGGAATATTGTGATATCTTGAAAAAACACAACTTGTTTATGTATAATCATGTAACATTTAGCAGAGCACAAGTTATACAATGAGTCAAATAATATAACGGTATCCAATGATCGGTTGATCCAATATCAATTAAAGAATGTTGGTCACAGAAATTTGTATGATATATCTGAGACCAGACATTATACTGTGAGCTGCGTAGAGCTGAGAGCGAGCTCGGCCGAGTCGCTTCAGCGTGCCAACTATCGATACACAGCGGTACAGCACTAGTCCCATTCACTACATACAGTACAGCGCAGGGATGAGGGGTGCACAACAAAACCCAAACAGAACTGACAGACACACCGACAAACTCAATCTAGTAATGAAAACAATGTTAACACACCTCTCAAATGATACAACAAAGCAAATAAGAAAATTAGTTGGAACTCAAACAGAAACGAAACAACTCAACAGATAACGAGAACTGTTCGCAGCGCATTGCGGTGACGACACGCGCCCCTGACTGTGGGGGTGGCCCCCCTCCGAGTCTAATGAAAGCCGACTGCCAACAGTTCGTGAAATGATCATGACGATGGTCGATGAGTGATAACTTACTTTAATTTAATGTATTGTGGTCACAACACTGAAACCTTTCGTATAGAACCTCGGTGTGGTCAAAGGTCAGGGTTATGACCTCAATAAACTTTCGAAATGAATAACATTATAATACTCAAACAAAGTGCCATACAAAAATAACTAAAGATGAATCGGTTGTGTGAATGCTTATAAATAGTAAAGAGATTAGATTCAGGTATATTTATATGACACTTAAATCTGTTGCCAACACTGTTCGAACTCGATACATATCACGTAGGAACTGAAACTACACAATGATACATTTTAATATTTGAACGTCCCGTACATATATGAACCCTACATATATGAACCCTACATATATACATACATATATATTAAATATATATTACATAATATAAGTAAATATTTAAAAAAAAAGAACATTTAACAACACAATATTTCAAGTAAATTAATTTTAAAATAATACAAGAAATAAAATATTATTAAGCATACTGAACCGTAAAAATGCGTTTTTGGATCAAACTCGAAGATTTGATTTCAGTTTTGACTTCAAAAATGTGACGAGGTGATTTGACAATTCCAGGGGACATTAATTTTCCGGCCCGCCAGGCCCGGGCACGGGCCAGGCAGCGCAGGCGACTCAGGCGCCGGAGGTCGCAGAACGACCTTCGTCCTCCATAAGCGCAGGCCTGGGGGTGACAGGTGAGGCCATCTGTCACCCTAGCAGAAGCAGGCCGGGGTGGCGGCGAGCGCGTTGCGAAGCGCGCTCGCTTCCAGGGAGCACAGGGAACATGGGGTTCCCACACGGGGCGGGGGTCGTCTACTCGTCTGTAGATGACCCGAGGTATGTCGGGGCACCAGGGCCTTCCTTTCTAGGGTATACCTGGTTCCCCGGCTATTAGTACCCGGCGAAGGCGTGCGGTTTTAGTCGGTTCGAGTCCGACATGCCACCGACAGGTGGTATCCGAGGGGATTTCCGCACGGAAAAAAAAAAAAAAAGGGGACATTAATTTATGAAGCGACAAAACTACAACTTTCAGTGATACGATTTCGCATCGCGAATATTTCCATCTTTGTGTGTTCACCATCAACTAAGTAACGGTTAATAAATTACCTTCGAATTACCAACTTTTTAATAGACCCACTAATAGTGAATGTATCGTCATGATAAAAATATGGCAATTTTTATCACGACAATACCTCTCTCCCAACATCCTGACCAGGATAAACACGAAAGGATGCAAAATTCCAATTCTTGAATGTCGTCAGTGTTTTATTTTTTGTGGTTATGTCAATTGGTCTATGGTGAATCGTCACGGGATATTGATTTAGTATTTTATGTTAAGAGTCGGAATGAATGATGATAAAAATTAAATGTAAATCATTGCTAACAATAAAATAAGCAAACAAAATATGTGTAATGAAATTTATAGAATACATGCTTATAAAAAATTAAAAAAAAACACTTGTTTCATGAAATCTATTCAGACTGTAGCGGGGTCACGACTTCGTTGGACTCTCTTCAGTAGGACAGAACAGGATAGGACAGGACGGGACAGGAAAGTATAAGACAGGCCGGGCCCGGGCAGGAATCTTCATTACTTGCGACAAGTTCCCTTACACGGAAGTGACGAAGGCGCGTCACACACACTGGTGAGGGACAAGGGGAGAAGTGCGACTAAGAATCGGGGAGGTACTCGTATTACGCGTAACGATTTATCGACAGAGACGGTGATGTCCTGCGCAATGACTACATGTCGAGTTCGAAAGTGGTGTAAACGTTGATTTATACAGAGTTAGTGCAGTGCACGTATATGTAATACATTCCATAATTCAGACTAAATCTCCTTTGATTAAATACATATTCGTGAATCGCACTCACCGCTGGGTAGTAACAAACGGAAAGTTCGAAATGTGCGACTCGTAATCCGTGGACTACATCGAGTGACACACGTCATCGAGTTCGTTACTTTGTCGAGGACTACGTTTAATTGTTACGCTATTACTGCATCGACACGTAAAGGACACAGCGACAAGGCGGAACGAGTAAACGTAGTCGCGAGGGAGAGAGCGGAGGTAAGAGAAGAGAAGACTCACGCTTCCACGAGCGGGCCGGGGTAGGGGTCGATCTGCATGTACAGCTCGGCGAGGCGCTGCGCCGTCAGCACGAGCGGCACGAACAGCAGGATGCACCAGCCCAGCGCCATCCAGTAGCCGTTCTGTAACACCGAGCACCACGTCTGGGTATGTGGAACACTTGGACGTATAGAAACCACGACAGTGGAACGGGTCAGCAAACGTTTACTAAATTAAAGGCCTAGGAATATATATTCCCGGGCATATCCACATTCATATTATCGTATACCACGAATATGTTATAAGAGAATTAAGAGTGGCGCTCGCCTTTGCCTAGAGGTTCAGTGAGTTTTCTCGCTGAAACTCCGATAAGTCTTGTTGTTCTGTTCTTGAAAAAGTAATTATAATTTAATAGAGGCTTATCATTCACAAAAAATCCAGCTCTCCTCAGATGCAAGGATCAAACCGCACGGAAAAAATGAACAACCGAACGGCGGACGAGTTGCCATTCGTGCTAACTTCCCTGCACGTTTACCGTTCTAAGACGAGACGCTAACTCAGAATAGCATAATATATATTTACATACTTATTTTTTTACATTCAAACACAATTACATTGAAACAAATATACAGGTCAGTCGGCGCCCCCCGGGAACATGGCGCACGTACGCAATGTACGAGGTACACGCGCACACGTGCAATAACGTATACGTACGATGGGTTGCACGACTTTGACGCAGAAGGAGTCCCTCGTGGAGTTGAAGACGCGCGAGATGGGCTCGCAGCGGCCCACGTTGTTGCGCAAGTAGAACGTCGCGTGCTTTATGAACTCGTTCAGCTTCTCTGCGATGATCTTGCCGTAGTGCTGCAAAGCCTGCCGACGAAACGAACCACGTTAATCTTATTACTATTCTTTTTGACTCCGACGAGCTGCCGGTACATAGTGACCGATACCGGTCACTCACACTATTCCTAGATTTACGTCTGTATCTATGGAGAGACTCGCATTATAACACCTTTAGTTTGCTCTTAATCGTGTATTAGAGAACCGAGTCACTGTCGGATTAAACATAGGAAAATTGATAATATTTTGAAGAGGAAAGAAGAGTAACTAAAAACCTATAATCAAAAACAGCTATCGTTTATCCGAACGTTTTTAGAGAACGTGAACAACATCGCGCAGTTCCTCTAATTCTAGTTGAACGTCACCGGGCAGTTCGAATCCTTTAAAATTAGCTTACTCACCATCTGCGAGAGCTCGTCGCCCTTCTCCAGTATGAATTTTTGAGCCGCTGCGGTCTGCTCCGTGAGCATCTCCAGGGCCTTATCGAGTGCCCAACCTCCCCACCGCATGCCGTCACGTAGTCGCGTGGTCGTCTCCTGCTCACATTACATTCACATAATAAGTATATCATATCTTTATATGTTTTGATAAAATTCTATTGAATTTAAATTCGGATGCACGGATCACACTCGGCCGTGCCGTGCAGGTGTTGTAAAAAATTAACTTCAATTTTTATGTTGCCTCCAGTACCACACGACATCTATATCGTATTGTACTATGGTGTACCGAACGATCGGTCCGACGACCTGGTGAAGGTCACGAGAAGCTCGAGACCGGTCGTCGTAGTGAACCTTGGGGGTGGTACGTGCCCATCGGTGGACGTCTTTCGACCGAGATGATGATGATCACGTACCAAACAATAATAATAAACATTGAAATATACATCAAGTACGGGGTACGGCGGCATTTGCACAAATACCAGATTTTATAGACCTATTACATTATTACTTTCTTTCTGTTTTCTAAAATTTCGAAAATAAGATGAAATTTGTTAGGTAACGCAGGTGTAACTAAGGTGTGGTGTAGTGTGAAGGTGCGACTCACGTTGAGGACGGCGGCGTCGTCGAGCAGCGGCGCCAGCACGCGGCGGTTGAGGCGCTCCAGGTCGGCCGCGGCCTGCAGCAGGTCGCGCGCCTCGCGCTGGAACTGCGGCTGCTGCAGCGAGTGCGCCGTGCTGTTGAGCTGCCGCGCCAGAGAGTCCAGCGCCAGCGACGTCATGTTCGTCTCCAACTGTACACACGATACCGTTCGACTTAACTATTCCGTCGACGTACGAGCCGACCCCGACACGAGAAGGCGTGACGAACGAATACCTTGAAAAAAAACTCATGGCACACAAAAAAATCTGGGAGAAAGATATCGAGAAGGAAGTAGGGGGAAAGCGACACATAGCCGATTTTATTTATTTATAATTAGCGATCCGCCCCAGCCTTGCACGGGTGCAATGTGGATACTATTAATACTGCTTATGTGGTCAGTGTGTCAAGGTATAAGCGTACAACAGAAAAAAGAGACTTTATTTTATACTATTGTTACGAGCGAGCTACACATTAAATAAAAGTTGTCGGTTAATTACTTTTACTGCACTGTATTTACATACACCAACTATTATAAACCAGAAATAACTATTTAAGTCGTTGGTCGCACTACAAATTCACTTCGATGTTAATTCAACCCAATACTGAATCGTACGGTCAACACGCTTCGCTTTTATAGTGCTATCGAAATTACTAGAATGATCCTATGGAGTTTTCGATGGTTCGTTCCAGACAAATAAGAATTTTCTAGTATCAGCTACCCGTTACTTGCAGCGCTAGATGATCAGAATTTATAACCACAATCTCAATAGTTGTACTACACGTGATACTAGATGGCGCTCATCATTCCATACAATTCTCGAAAAATCCTGTGACGCAACACTGCTCCCTCCTAAGACATGCTCGTCCCGAACATTATCAGTCCCATAATATCGCTCCAATCGATCCACATGAACTATCTTTGGGGCACCGCTTGGGTACTTGTGTATCCGGTAAGTGACGTCATTCATTTTCATCACCACTCGGTATGGTCCATCCTATTTGACTTGTAGCTTCGGAGATCTCCCTTTACTGCGAAAAGGATTTCATAGCCACACTATCGAACTTTCTTCGAAGCCTTTATTGTTTACTTTTCGGTCATAACAGGTTTTCATCTCCTCAGACTCACTCAGGGGGTATTCCAGTGATAAAATCTGCGGGCAACCGTAGTTCTCTTCCGAAGATTGCGAAAACTGGTGTTACTGAAGTACTTTCATGGACTGCGCTTCGGTATGGCAGAAGAAAAGGTTGGATGTGTTTGTCCCTCTTTGCCTACGACGATAAAGGCCTGATCCCGGAGACCCAAGGCGAGCGCGGTCACTGCTTGGGCCTTGGTCCAGCCATTCGCCGTCATAACAGCCTCAAATTGGATCTTGTAGGCTGACCAAAAAGATGTTTCATCAAACGGCGCCACTTTGAACCCTCGCACCGAAGGAGCAGCAGTTACCGTAGTAGCCGTCCCTTCTCCAACTTTGAGGTTCCCTAACGCCTTCTTCACGTCTGCAATCTGAGTTTCGGCTTCAGTGAGATGGTTCTCGTGTTGAAGAACCTGATCCTTCACTCCCTTGAAATCTTTGCAGAAGGTCTTATGAAGGCTATTCTTCCAAGCGACGGGCCTGCTCCTCCTTGTCCCGCTGCAGCTGTTCTGCCAAGCGGCGGGCCTGCTCCTGGAGCATCATCATTAGAGCCGTGATATCTAGAGATTGCTGGCTGCTGACCTTCCAATATAGGCAGTTGTGCACCTCCAAATCGCTTCTGGTCAACCTCTTGCTGGCGCCGGCTTCTCGTATGGATGCCTTCCCTGTCTTCTTTGGGTAAAACCGGCATACTTTTATTTCACTTCTGACACTTAAATTGTTACGAGCGAGGTATACAAAAAAAGTTGTCGTTTAATTACTTTTATTGCACTGTATTTACAAACACTCACTACGAGTATTATAACCAAGAAATCACTACATAACTCGTTAGTCGTACTAGAAATTCACTTCGATGTTAATTCGGTGTGTCGTTATACGGTTCAATTCAGTTTTGTCATTCAATATAGTCTTTTATAGTGCAATCGAAATTACTAGAACGATTCCTAGTATTCGATAGTCCGTTCCAGACAAATAAGAATTTTCTATGGCGCTGTAAGTAACCGAATTATTAATTATAATTTCGATAAAATAGTGTACGATAGATACCTGAACAAATAGAAGAAGGAATGCTTATGGAATCGATTACAGTTATGACAGAGAGACTAGATCGGTAGAAATATTGAATTATTTATTATAGGCTCACGCGAGGACTCGACTTTAACTTCATATCTCTTCCGGTCGGTTATTATTATTATCATATCTATAAACTTACAAAATGAAACGCTTTAATGCATGTCGTCGTTGACGATTTAACGTTCGTCGGTGACAAAGGGTACAAAGCACAGAACGGATAGATCGGGTGAAAGAGAATAAGATTAAGAAAGAGAGGAGTGATAGACCGAGAGTTAAAACGGAAAAGAACGCACAGTACCGATCTCGAGCGAGTTCGGGCGAATCTCGTGTCGCGTATAAAGGATAGGAAACCGTCTCGATAAGCAGCGAGCGGCTAGCGTACGCACCGCGTCCAGGATGCGGTCGAAGTCGAAGTCGGCCAGACCCGACTCGGCGAACTGGCGCAGCTTGCGCAGCGTGGTGGGGCGCATGATGCGCAGGTCGGTGTCGCCCAGCAGCGGCCGCGCGCCGCCCAGCGCCAGCGGGCCCGCGCGCAGCCCCAGCGGCAGGTTCGCCAGGTCCACCACGCGCCGCAGCTGCAGCAGCTGGGGGCCGTCACTCACGTCTTATATGATCATTCGTCTCGCTCTCAAACCGCTTACCCGAACGAGATAACTTCTTAGGACGAATTGAATCCTCTTAAAAAGTCTATTACGATATCAGTATTAGATAAGACTAAATGTAATTACTTATAGATTTTTATAATAATAATTATATATACCTCATACAGGGTGTAATTCATGTGACACCGCACCAGCACGCCGGCCAAGGTGAACGTTTCGTCTTTTTTCTCGCCGTACAACGTCCTCTCCAGATCCACCATCTTATCCAAGTCGTTGAACAGTCTATTACCGATCGGATACCTGCATCGAATCGAACGGTACGATAGTTAGACGAATAGTAGAACTTCAGCTTTATCGACAAAGTGAACAGTAAATAGCTCAAAACGTATTCAGCTCTAGTATACGTCTCACTGAAATCTAATAAAAAAATTACACATGTATATTAGTGATCTGTCGAATATCGCAAATCCGTGGCTTTCTGCTAGACAAAAGGTTAATATTAGTTTTTTGGTGAATCTTGAAGGGATCTTTTACATAGTATGTATATTTAATTGAGATTATTGGAACGAAGTTCCTTATCGCGCGTTGTGAAAGGGGGCTCCTCTAGACGGAAAAAAATCTCACAAAAAGTTGTAACGACACTTTTTATGTCACTTGTCAGTCATTCAGCGCCATCAATCGAATAGATAGGAAATCATTACATTTCATCTCAGTAAAATTAAAATTTATGTTCTTAGGTTGAGCAAAAAATATTGTAATCGACATCATTTCTCAAGGAGATTTTACCAATGTATAAATTGTTTTAATTAGAAACCAAATGAAAAATATGTAGGTAATAGCCGCTTTCATAGATGGTAATGTAATTAAAATCGTGTCGAATCAGTTTTACTCGATCGTCACAACTTCGTTCCTATCGGGTGTCCCACGACACCACACGGCTTTTTTTTATTCTAAATTAAGTTTGATAAAAATAAATATATTAAAATATCATCAGTCAAGCCACTCATATTATCACAGTAAGGTACTATTTTATAAAGATTTCGAACATAACGTTTTAAAGACGTGTACATATTAAATTTCTATGTTATACTTAGAATCATTTAAAGGTTACACTTATCGTCATTGACCGAGAGGCAGATCGAGATCCGTGTCAGATACTGCGTACTCGTATCCGAAGATTTACATCGGGAAGTATGTCTAAGGCAGCGCGGTACTCACATGAGCGGGTCGCACACGACGCGCTGCGCGGCCACGCCGGCCACGAAGTACACGACGAACACCACCGCCACGAACCCGCCCAGCGTGAACAGCACCGCCACCCCGCTGCGAACACACCGGCTGGGGTTAGAACGAGCAGCGACCACCGACCCTCACTGCGTACCACCGCGCGCTACGTACCAGAGCAGGCTCCTGGCGCCGCCGGCCTTGCTGCAGCAGTCGTGCGCGCCGTACACCTCGGGCCGCCCGCCGCACACGCCCACCACCAGCCCCCACGTCATTATGGCACACATCTGTCCACACGCGACGCTCATGTTTATAACCCGGCAATCTCGTGCGCGACCGTCCCGCGGGGTGACAGACGGTGGCGAGGGCGAGGTAGCGCGTCATTCTGGCACACGGCTACACGCGTTTCCCTTCCCCGCTACACCACCCGCCACCCGCTGACATCTCGAGTACCTCGTCCCCGCCACCGTCTGTCACCCCGCAGGACGGTCGCACGACGTTGATGGATTATAGTGACGCACGACAGCATCGATATCAGCCGACCGTTTATTTCTTTTTTAACCGACCGCAGCGAGAAAAACCGCTCGATTCGACTGTATCTTTAGAGTATCTGTTAAGTGATCTCATCGTCTTTGTGAACGGAGATCGATAACTTTTTTTGCTGTAAAAGTCATACTCGAGATTTCTCCGACTACGTTTAAAAATATATTCCACCTCTAAGAGTGGTTCAGTGAAAGAATAAATAAACGATTAAAGGGTTAATAAAGAAACGAATTATTATAATTATGAGTGACGTGCACTGACCAGCAGCAGGCAGAGCGCGGCGGCCACCCCCAGGTACTGGCGGTAGGTCCCGTACTCGTCCATGACCTCCTGCACCCGGTCGGCGTCGCGCAGGTGCGCCTGCAGGTGTCTCGTCACGTTGCCCACCACGCCCCGGATCTGCTTGCCCAGCTGTATCAAGTTCTCACCTGAACACACACACACACACGATGACACACATTCATTATATAATAACAGTATTTACATGTATCTGTAAAATGATTATCACATTTAGTTTATTTAACCGTACCGTCCCGGAATATTATATATATATATATATATATATATGTAAAGAAAAAATATATTTCTCTTTATTCAAATTTCCCGCGCATGAAGCGAATCAGACTGAATTTATTATCTGTAGTATAATGATAGTGTTTTTGGTTAATGGTTACGCGTATTTTTGGTTATTTGTGAAAAAGAATTCATGTGATTTAGGAATCGACATCAATAATAAACTTTGAATATCGTTTCTTTTGTTTACAGGTTTGTTAATTAACACTTAATTACTTTTATTTGTTTATTGTTTGTTGGATGTAGTTTCGAAATAAAGAATTTCTTTTATTTACAGAAAGAAACCATTGTTTTTGTTTTACTTTGTCAATCTATCTATCTATCACAAGAAAAACAGCATTATATATATATTTATATAAAAATGAATCCCTATTTGGTCGACACCGTCTGATGTTGATATTGGTCGCAACATCAGACGTGGACGGCTTGTTCGAATTGAAAAATTATTTGATTGTTGGGTAACAGTTTTATCGAAGAAGGATATAGGCTGTATGACATCACGCATCGACCAATACAAACCGAGTATCAATGGTAATGAAGGTCTGGGGTCTGCTGATTCTCAATTAATATTATTTTATTGAACTAACATTTTAATCATGATTAACATTCATACTTATACTATAAATGCGAAAGTGTGTCTGTCTGTCTGTAATCTCTACACGCTTAAACCCCTAAACCGATTTAAATGAAATTTGGTATAGAGATAGTTCGAGTGCCGGGAAAAAACATACCATAATTTTTATTCCATAAGTCGTCCTTTAAGAGGTGAAAAGGGGGGCCTGGAAGTTTGTGCGGGGAATCAATAACCGCTAAACTGATTTAGATTAAATTTGGTATGGAGATAGTTCGATTTTTGAGGATAGATTTAGATTTTTTACCGACATACACTCAACCGGAGCCGCGGGCAACAGCTATCTCACATAATTCTGTATCAAGTCTTTATCAAGTAAAGGCATATGTATACGTAAAACAGCTCATAATAACCCGTGTTAAACATACTGGATACTAGTATGTTCAACCTAAAGTAAGATGAACACATAATATTCTGATTCTTTCAAGAAGAGGCTGCAATACGCACTCTATGTTCTTGTAGCGCACTAACGTGGTACCAAAGTATCTATCTATGGTCTCACATCACGCAACCGCAAGATATGCCAACAGTTACTGCACATAATATCAGGACGTTTCTCGAAATCTGAGTGGCGAATTTTAAATCAATATCGCATTTAAAACAGACTCTACTTTGAAGATCGGGACGGTACTCTATATGTTGTAGCTCTGACAGAACACTGACGTACCGAGTTTATCGATCGAGAACCTGACTTCAGGCAGCTGTTCCTCCACCGAGCTCTGGATGGTCCGCTGTATGTTGCGGAACACCTTGTGACCTTCGGCCACCTCCTCCTTGAGACCGCTGGACAACAACGCCGACACGTTTTGCAGCAGCGGTGACACGTCCGGCATCTGGTATCATACAAATCCCATTAGCAAATAACAAAATGTATTTTTTAATAAGATAAAAAATTAATTTTATGATATCTTGTAACACAATTTTCGTCGTTTTTAGTTTCCCTTTCAGTGAAGACGCTGAGCACTATAGAGGGGTGAGGTGAACGCTGGTTCTTACTGAGGTCAGTTCTAAGTAAACCATACTTACAGTTGGAAAATATTGATCGAGCATCTAATGTCCACAGTAGCATGAAATAAGTACAAGAATATTTTAATAGAATAGAATCAAGAGGTCAATAAACAGTGGAGGATATAGCAAGAGACATTAAGACAGCAGATAATGAGTAATATCTATCAGCTGCGTGGTGACACGGAGGAGATGACTGACCTGGCTGTACTGTATCTCGGTGTCGAGCTGGCCGATCTTGTACTTGTTGTGCAGCGCCAAGCACTTGGGCTGATCGCACTTCGACAACGTCTGCAGCAGTTGATTCTTTACTTTTCGTAGTCCTGCACAGCGCGTACATTATAATGACAATAATTAATTAATCTAACTGAAGTTGTTACACACGAAAGTGTATTTATGTAAATATAAATTAATCGCCAAATGTATTGCTTGCAATTAGAACTTAGCACTTGAAACTCGAGAACGGCTCGACCTATACCTAAATATATCTTTTATGTTTTTTAAAGGACAATAAAGGTACATATCTATAAGAAGATAGAAAAAACGTAAAAACAACACTTATTTTCTCATACAAACCACATAGTAAATTAAAACACCTGTGCCCAACTGTCAAACATTTGACAGCAATCAAAATAAAACAAAGGCGCGTTAGGATCGTCTTTGGTATGCGTTCAAGTTGATGAGGCTCTATTGAAATTAATGGTTGCCTACTCAAAATAAACTTTGCAGAAAAGTGATCCTTATTACGTGACGTTTTATTTTTTATTGGACTGCGACAGGCCAATAACTTGAGCTCGTTCGTCTATCGGGACAGCTAGTTAACTAATGTTAATTGATCATCATGATCTTACTTAAAAGGACAAATATACTATTCATTAGGAAAAAGTGCGTTAAGTGTTAAATATATTTTAGAGAGACAAAGTGATGAAATGTTTACCCGAGTTGAGGTCAACGGCCCTGACCCGCAGGGAGTTGGTGAGGTTCTGCACGGTGCGCAGGTCCTCGTACACGTCGTCCAGCTGCTGCACCATACGGTTGAGCGTCGACACCGCCATCAGGTTCGATGTCTCGCTGAGCATCAGAGTAGTCCGACCGCCTAAGCCTGCACACAACACATATCACATTTAAATTTAAACATACAAATAACTTGGACCAAACCCAACATAATCAGAAGCAAAGACAGTCTGCTTGTACTTGCCACATCGCCTTAACTTCTGCAACAAGAGCGTTAAGTAGTCAATCATGAAATGTATCAGTTGAACGAATGATTAAATTTGTGACTGCACGGATGGCGTAGTGGTTTAAGCGGTCGCCACGCCGCTTCCTACTACGCCGAGTGTTGTGGGTTCAAACCCCACATGGGACGACACTTTGTGTGATCCACAAATTGTTGTTCTGAGTCTGGGTGTTCTTTGTGTCCGTTTCATGTATGTTTGTAAAGTCCCCCGCGACACAGGATTTATTCCTAATGCGGGAGTTGTCTTTTTTTTAAAAAAAAAAAAAAAAAAAAATTTTAGCCATTAACATTTGACTAATAGTAATCAACAAACGGCATGCTTCTATTTCATAAATGTAATTTTAAATATTCCTGCAAAACGTTTCGTTTTGATGTTTTAAAAAGAGGCACCGGTATGACTTAACAGTCTTATACCGTATATAGTAGCTAACTATTATAATTCCAAACATTTAACACATTGTACGGACGTACAATTCAAATTAGACAGAGTCTGTGTGAAGGAGAGGCCTATGTCCAGCAGTGGACTATTAAAGGCTGCTGATGTGTGATGTGTGTGTGATGGCAATCAGACTGCAGGTAAACATAAGTATGGTACTCTGGGGATCCCGGAATTCGTACCTTGATTAGGTGCGGTAATGTTAATAAATGTTTCGTTACCAATTATGGTTTCAAGGGGGGAATTTGTTACCAACAGGTTACCGTACTAACCATAGAGCACCTCGATGAGGCGCGACTTGACTTCATAGAAGTTACGCTCGAGTAACCAGATCGCCTCCTCCTGTGTTTTGTTCAGGAATTTGATCGCGTCGCCGAGCCCGGCGCGGTAGACGGTAGTCAGGTCACCCACGTTGTCGTCCAAGTGCGACTCCGTCGCGAACACGCACACAAGCCCTAGCCTGAAACACATAAGATATTTTAAACGGCGAGAAGAATATCTATTAACAAAGAACATGTTCCTGTTCTCTTTAACCTTGTCCTAAAACATGTTGTTATAGTACCGTAAGAACTAATGATTTGCCAGGAGGAGAGCGTATATAATTATATATTTTTTTAATATCTAAATTGTTATGACTAAAACAAAGTTAATAGAAAAATTCATTTGTTTTCATTAAAACTATTATATGTAATGCAATTGTAAAAGATAAAAACAAAAAAAGTAAAATATATTTATTTCGTTATTACTATAAAACAAAATGTTATACATTGTTTTGCAAACGGCCTGAGATAGGTGTGAGACCTGTGTTTCAGACAGTCGCTTGACCGTGTTAGTTACAGGACGTTCATATGTTAAAGTTCTAATAGATTAATAATAGTAATGGTTTGATTTTATGGTTTTCAACCGCCTATGTAGCAACTGCGGTACGGTAGGTTCAAATGGGGTTGGTTATAAAAAAATTGTAGATGTGTAAAATTGGGAATTGAAACTTACAGGAACAAGGTGAGCAATCCAATGAACAGTATTGCGAGCATGCCCCTGATCCAAGAGTCGTACTCGCGATCGAAGGGCCGGCGCCTACGCCCCACGCGACACCAGTAGCAACAGCACCAAAACAATCTGTAACACAACACCTTACATACATACAAACGGGAACACTCAAAACACGCATTATATGCCGTTTGCACTGGCAGATAGATCACTTTTGTAAGAACTACCATAGGCTCGTTTAATAACCGGGTGACTATTGTAATACATTATCAATACATATTTTAAACTATATACTTAGTTTAGTTGTGAATTCCAAAAAGAAATGAAAAGATTTTAATACAGTTTTCACCAATGGCTAGTATAATTCTCGAGGAAGATGGCAGAGCATAATTAATTAAGATTTTGTATAAAATTTGCTGAAGTATGACGACGTTTAATGAAGATGCCAAAAGGAAGTTTTACTGAAAACATGGAAGTTGTGTGAAAAAAAAGTCATCATCGTATCGTATCGTATCGTATACTGCTGGACATAGGCCTCTCCTTATAAAGGAGGTTCTGGCCTACTATACCACGCTGTCCAGACGGGTTGGTATAGGCTTTGTGTCAAGTTTTCTTTCTCTTTGCAGTGCTGTTATTCTGAATAGTTTGTTCAGTTAGACGGCTCTTACGACACCCACGGGATGAATAGTGGTGGTGACACTCCGTAATCTTAATACGTCACGACACGGATGTATTATGAAATTATTCCTCTTAAAAAGAAATATATAGATAGAAATATAGAAAATATAGTGTATCTTTTAAGAAACAATAACGATAGAATTTAGCTAGAAACTATATTTATATATATATATATATATAGCATATAACTATGCTCTGATAAAAGTGCTAAGCCAGGGTTTGTAGCTAAATCAATAACGAAGTGTAATTACCCGGTTAGCGGCAGAATGACCGCGATGAGCAGAGCAAGAACCACGATCCCGATGGGGCCGAGGTAATGCGAGACCCACTTGCGCCACTCTTTCTTCAACGGTGACACGTACAGGTGTCCATCAGACACTGTCACCACACCTGTAAACATAAACACATTACTCTTTTAATTTTTTTATGGAGGAACTCTAAAACCGATGAAATAAAACCACTAGGGCGACTAAGGTTGCATCCAAAGGAGTATTTTAAAATTGGGCATATTTAGGCTTCGGTTAATAGAAATGCTAAACAAAAGAATAAATATAATTGTCTAAGAAAGTGACGAGTGTTCGTGTGCACATGACAACAGCTTGTTGGGTTTTGGAAAGTGAAATACATTGATTGAAATTGTTTTGATATTTACAAAAATTTGATCTTGTATAGGTTGTTTCTCTAATTTCGTTTGGAATAGTGAATTCTAAAAGTAAAAATAAAAACAAGTGAGCGGTGGGCAACAATTAGGAACCGTGAATAGACTGCTGCCACATTATGCACATAATGTCAGCCAAAAACCGTGGGTTCTAAGAAATCAAAGATGGAAGAGGGAAACAGCTGTTTAGGCAATGGCTTATGTCGTATAGGATATACACTCTCTTTCTCTCTGTATTATTATATGACAAGCAATATCCTTACTAGGCAGGAGTGCTCTGAGATGATGCGGCAATATGTCATGCTCTCGACGTTTTTCGCCGTGAGAAGCCGGAGCGAAGTGTCGTGAAATTATTATCGTAAGCGAAGAGGAATGCGATAGGAATAGCAGAGAACTGGTGAGTACTTCTCTCAAATAATACTCCACCGGTGTGACCTTAAGTATTTATTGGTAAAGTAGCTTTTGACCACCAAAGTAGCTTGACAGTTTTTCCTGGGATAAAAAAATCCTTTAAAATATAAAAGATGCCTACAACAATATTGCTTATATGTTGTACAGTACCGTACAATAATTATAATCTAGGGTTATGACTCCTCCTTCAATTGCATCTCATCAAGCTGGAGAATTAAACTGATAGCCCTTCGATAGTTCGCCTATCCGAAAATACACCTTATCTCTATGTGGCTACGGTTTATAAATGTTAATGTCAAGTGAGGAGCATGTGGATACAACGATGGCCTGTTTAGTTAGACCAATTTATGATATTCGAAACGAATGTACTGTAACGTAGAATTTAATCACTCACAAGTTGTCCTACTTTACAGTTTCAAAGTTAATTATTTTTGTGTGAGTATGGCCAACAAAAAAATGTTTTGTCAACGATTGATATAAATATATAAACAGGCTTACTTATGTAAGCAAGTGGTATGTAATTTCGACTATTCAGATAGTCGGCTCGTTGGTCTAGGGGTATGATTTTCGCTTAGGGTGCGAGAGGTCCCGGGTTCAAATCCCGGACGAGCCCAAATTTTGTTTTGGTCTTTTTATCTTCTTAGTATATAGTTTATATGTTTAGGGTATAATTATTGTTTTATTATTAACAATAATAATTAACACTGTTTAGCATAATGTCTTTTTTTACAGCTTAGCTTTAGGTCTACCTTTACATTTCGTTAACGCGATTGTCAGCGATAAATCACGTGGGGCTTATCACGCTACTAATGAAAAATATTTACATCGTGAATAGGTATTCACCTCTGTATGTCATTTTAGAATTTCTGAACGGCTTAGTGGTTTTAGATTTCTATTTATACTCGTAGAGGAAAAAATATTATACGTAGTTAGTAAAAATATAAGTACTAACAAAGTACCCGATGCTAAAACGTACCAAAACGACCATATTGACGTGGCGTCAATCAGAGCAAATAAATAGTTCAAGGCGAACCAAATTTAGGAAACTGCTATTCGCCTTCTGGAGCCATGATGAGATCAGCTCCAGGATGTCCAATTATAGACGTTTCGATACAGTTATTCAGTTAGATAGATACAAGTGAAGCGAAACAGCATTTTAAGTGCCATCAACACTAAATTATAATTCATAATAATAATATTATTCAACCACATTCAGACAACGCCATCTAGTCCCAAACTAAGCAGAGCTTGTACTATGGCTACTAGACAACTGATATAAATACATATAGACTTTTTTAATGCTAGAACTAGATTTTTTTTAAACTACGTATTTGCAGAACAAACTATAATTGACAAAAGTATTTCTAAGGTCGAAGTAAAAAAAACTCATCTTTTTAGAGGTAATTGTCTATACAAATAAATAAAATTTAAGTGTATGTTTGTGATGTCAAAATAATAGGTTATTTTCATGCTCACACGGTTTTTTGCACGATACCTATACCTAAAAACCATATTTTTTTTGTCTGTCTTTTTGTTCCGGGTAAACGGCTGGACGGATTTTGATAATAGAACAAATAGAGGTAGCTGTCTATATTAGGAGTAACATAGGCTATTTTTAATTTCAGAAAACCCCTTTAAATTCTGTCTGTTCCGGGAATCGAACCCACTAAGGCAGAGCTTTTCAAATTCCACGCGAACGAAGTCGCAGGTACCAGCTAGTCTATACAAATAAATAAAATTGGAGTGTCTGTTTGTAATATTAAAATAACCGCTTTTTACTAAATGCATACGTATGTTTACACGGTACATATGCCAAAATAACATTTTTTACAATTTTTGTCTGTCGGTCTGTTTGTTCCGGGTAATCTCTCGAACGGCTGGACCGATTTCGATGCGACTTTTATCTGGCAGATAGCTGATGACATAAGGAGTAACTTAGGCTACTTTTTCTGGACTAGCTTCGCCCCGCGGCGTTGCCCTCGGTTATAACAACAAACGCGGGTAACACCGCGGGTCTCAGCTAGTTTATAATATAATTAACAGTGGGAGAGCCAAGCTAATAAGGACCGGCTCGACGGCCACGGCTTCACAGAAAATCAGTTTTAAGGAACTCTTCCGTAGCTTAAAAACATAGATCTTCCAGATAGACTTCAGTATCGACTTCGATAGTTTTTTTTTTTTGAAAGACAACTCCCGCACTAGGAATAAATCCTGTGTCGCGGGGGACTTTACAAACATACATGAAACGGACACAAAGTACACCCAGAGTCAGAACAACAATTTGTGGATCACACAAAGTGTTATTCCATGTGGGGTTTGAACCCACAACACTCGGCGCAATAGGAAGCCGCGTGGCGACCGCTTAAACCACTACGCCATCCGTGCAGTAGTACAGAAAGAACGCTTTATCATAAACCAAAACTAACTGTAATCAGACTATAGTTAGTACCGCTGTAACGACAGCGTACAAATGTAACAATGGTTAGACATAAAACAATAATTTCAAGTTCACAAACGCTGTATAATTACACGCATGCGTGCTACAGTACATGACATGATGAGTATTTCGTGTGTTACAGGTGTTGTTTAGAGGACCTTGGCCGTGCGCTCGCCGTGATCCACTGCCCCCGGTAACTACGCACCCACCAGACTTGATTACGATCTGTAATCGTACTTGTAATTCTCAGAGCGAATTCAAAGTTAGACTCTAATTAATTTTAATTATAACTAGCTGAGACCCGCGGTGTTACCCGCGTTTGTTGTTATAACCGCGGGCAACGCCGCGGGGCGAAGCTAGTCTAAAAAAAGTAGCCTAAGTTACTCCTTATGTCATCAGCTATCTGCCAGTGAAAGTCCTGTCGAAATCGGTCCAGCCGTTCCAGAGATTACCCGGAACAAACAGACAGACAGACAGACAGACAAAAATTGTAAAAAATGTTATTTTGACATATGTACCGTGTAAACATACATATGCATTTAGTAAACAGCGGTTATTTTAATATTACAAACAGACACTCCAATTTTATTTATTTGTATAGATATTTGTATAGAATTTAGAATAACATACCTATTGTAAAGGAGTTTCAAATCAGACACGACTTTCAGTAATTAAAGAGCGCGCCTGAAAAGAGTGAAAAACGACATAATATCAACAAATACACATGCAAGACCGACCGTTGCGTTACGCTGTAACCCCGCAAAGTTCTGCTTAAAGACTGCAAGAGACTGTAAAATAAATAATTCCGATAACAAATTAGGAGCGATGCCAGAATTTTTACAAAAGAGTGAAAGTTGCCTATGTCTCTGCTTCGACAGCTCTTTACAGCTGCCTATCGAAATCCACGCTTGTTTAGTTGCGACTGGTAATATCCAACAATGAGGTCCGTAATTCGAACAAATCATGTTGTTATTTATTACTGCAATGATTGCCTTGATCTAGATTACACACGCACATGATGGGTGTGCATTTAATCAGATCCATGAAATGACCGTGCATAACACAGTAATATAAATTATGAACTTAATGAGATTAGTTTCTCTAGGACTGTTATACTCTGGTACGATAGTCCATTTAGCAGCAGCTTCCAGGCCAAAAATCCAATGCATATAAACATAGAGAGCTCCGTAATGCTTCTGATAAATGAACCCAAAAATACAAAAACTTCGTACCAGAATGGATCTCAGGCCACAGAGTATCATGTCACTGGATCCAGTCTATACCGTTAAAAGTTCAGTATTTAGAAAAAAATACATTTAAAGGTGACAATTACGCATTATCTTGAAAGATCATCTTTTGAGCGTTTGAAGTTGTGAACCATTGACAGCAAAAAGACGAATGAAATAAAAGCAAAAACACTACCCACAATTCGTACAAAATAAAACTTGTTTATTCATGGTATGTTGCATCTGCGAATGTTTTATCCTTCAAAATAAAAACTACATCCGCGTTATACAATGTAAGTTATTTTCCGGGTTTGTGTAAAAATGGCTAGTTAACAGATATGATCGTCAATATGTTTCAAAACTGTCATTGAGTGAATACAATTTAGAGAAACCTTGTGTAAAGTAAGGTCAATTTCAACATGGGCGGTTGGCTAACGAATCAATTTTATATTTCATATTTTATTCATCACATAATAAAGGGCTACAGAAAGAAATCTGTTCCAAAGAAAAAAGCCCGGGCTTTTTACTTGTTACGAGCTTTTCAGGAAAAGGTCAAGTGGGTGAGTTGCGTGAGCACAGCTTACCTACTGGTTCGTAAATAGCAATGTGGAATAATGAAAAGGTGAAGAGTCTCTCATTGAGGAGCCGAGGCTGGGAGTGCCTCGCCGAGTGTTAGTCGCTCATTATTATCGAGATATTGCGACAACAACCCACTTAGAAGCACTTGAGAGCTTTTCACTCGAGTGGGGCACACTGCCTAGTGAATCACTAACAAATTGAAAACATTAAACAATGAAAAATAATCGAATATTGATTATTATCTACGTACGACAGTTCCCCTCAAGTTTTTTACTTATGTTGAAACGAGGTCAGAATGTGTTGTGACGTCAAACTGTGCTCTCCCCAATCAAAAAGATGTTTGGTATAAATAATAACATTTGGCACACCTAGCACAACGCCATCTAGTTTCAAACTAAGCAAAACTTGTATTATAAAAGCTAGATATACTTTTCTTTAAATAATGTTAGTAAACATGAAAAATACAAAATTTAAAAATGATAATTATAGGAAACGACTCCATTTTAAGAACATCATCATCATCGTCTTCATCATCAGCCTTTAGTATTCCACTGCTACACATAGACCTTTTATTGGAAAGGAAAGCAAAAATAATTTAGTCATGACATGATTATAAAATTATTTATGATTTATATGAATTTAAATAAAAACCAAATTAAAGCAAACGTCACTGAATCCAAAAAGAATTTTCCCGTACCGGGAATCGAACCCGAGCCTCCTGGGTGAAAGCCAGGTATCCTAGCCACTAGACCATACGGGACTTAACGAATCTAACGAATTCTTTCATTACAATACAAGTCATAAGCCATATCATGTATTGATCACATTGATCTTACAAAGTTTGATAAAAACAACAAACATTGTATTATCACAACCGATGACTTCGTCACGCATATAATCAATAAATAATCATTAAAATGTCCTTTTATAGCTACCGTTTTGGACTACGTACAGTGAGCAAACCAAAGGTCAATGGCTTATGTTCAAGTTCATACCGAATGTACCTGTTGCGAAGGGAAAGGATGAAAGCCGCGGTACATAATAAGGCTTGTGTGGATGGGTAAAATAACAGTAAGAATACCATAAAGAATACGAACATAATACAATGTTCATACAGAGCAAGACGACAAAGAAAGGCAAACGTTAAACAAGTATCATAGTACCGCTGGACAAGTAAGAATGTCTTTCCAGAGACAATACTGTGACATAACAAGGAAGGATATCCCGTCGTCGGCGCGCGCCGCAGGAGACGGCGGCGGGAGCGGGGACACAGTGGGGGGATGGGGTAGGATAGCCGGGAGCTCTGTGAGCGGTGTGCCGGTGCAGCCGATCGATAGCAGACTCCGCCACGCGTCTGCAGCCACACCACCGCGATCGCTGTTACCGAAATACGCTATTACAATATCGAAACAATTTTGGACTAACGAGATGTACCTACTGCTGACACACAATGTGAAATTTCGAAAAAAAGTACTGTCCATGCTTTTAAAAAAAACCTAATACGTAACAAACGTACTACCTTTATGGTATAGTATACAAGATCCCGAAACAAATGAAGCTATTCAAGCTTAGCTGTCTTGGTTGTCTACGTTTTACAATAAAGCTCTCCCACTAGGTAACTTGTATGAATATTTAGTTTATTGTACATATACTTTAACATTGAAATAGGCCACTTTACCCCATGACAAAGGCCCCTCACAAACTCGAAACAAGTGTGCACTTTCTAAATACATAGAAAATAATTGGTATATGATTATTTGATTGCCTCATTCATATTCACAACTTAAAATTTCTAATATTTGGTACATTACTAATACGTACAAACACATTAAAACATTATTTTTTTGTTTAAAGCCCTGACAAATTGCCCTATGGACATTACAATTCAAATAATATTAATATAATACACACACACGTGTCATATTCATAAACTTCTTTTTTTAACCGGATTATAAACCACCACAGGCTACTAAGTGTGGGGATAGGATGGCGGCCTAATTGCATTAAGACGCAATTGGGCTGCCACGTCGCGATTGAGCGGGGTAAGTGTTTTTCCCCTGGGATAGGCCCTGAGGACCTGAAATAACATGGTCCGGGTCCTCCCAGAGTAGGGCACCTGAGGCCGGCTGTCGGGGTAGTTTTTAGCGGAATCGCCACATACTCCTGGCTACTGAGTCCCCGAGGAGCAGGAGATCCGACAGGATTTTCCCTACCAGGTGTACGAAATAACTACCCTCAATTTTCTGTCTCTTTGAAGTCGTTGTTCCTTCAGGAATTTATTCTCCTTGACACGTTCATGTCTGACAACTACTGATAAGTACGCATTCACTTAATTGTTTGACGACGATAACTTAAAGTGAAGAGTGCAAGACATACTGGGCAGATTAAGTAATTGGCTCTAAATATTTTCATTATAAATACTGGCATCATTTTTATGACCGTATAAAAAAATTTTCAAAGATAAAAATGATCAAAGTGATTTACCAGAGTATTTCAGAATGATTTTGTGAAAATTGTCCTTCGTGTTTCCGACTACGATTTGGTTCTTTGTGCATCAACGGTTTAAAAATATCGCTGCTATTTATAGACACCACACATTTTGTTGTTTTGGACAATGTAGATTGTAGACTGTATTATTTTTTAAATTTTGTACTAAAATATAATATATTTGAAGATACTTTTGTTTGTATATACCCGCTTATCTCTATAACTATATAACAGATTTAAAGCTTTGCATAACGTTACCATCCTTATAAACGGCACAGTGACATAAAACGCAAGTGAAATTGCGAAAAACGCAACGGCTATAAATTAAATTGTCTATAACCAATGATATTAAATATGTGTATACAAACAAGATATCATTGTCTATAGCACAATCGACTTCTTTACGATTTCTATACGTTTTGTTTCGAAAAACAGGCCGAAGTCTAGTAGAGTGCTACAATAAATGATTGGCACAAGAATATCAATCAAAGCGAGTCTCGCCCTGATTTTGATTATAAACGAAAAGCGTGGCGACTCATAACGATAAGCGTTGCTCACCACCTAAACCTGTATGGCACGACTGTCTACAATACACCTTGCACCATGTGCCTGGTATTCGTTATTATTTTGTCATGTTGCAGTTATAACCTAGGCATCGTACGTATGTTTTACGGGCAGTTATATACTTACAATACTTTTATATTATAATCATCGTCATCATGAACAGCCTTTAATAGTCCACTGCTGGACATAGGCCGGACGGATTGGTATAGGGTTTGTTTCAAGGTTTTTTTTCTCTGCAGTTGTCCTGCATAGTTTGCTCCCTTAGTCGGCTCTAACGACATGATTATTTTAATCCTAACTATCATTGTCTTACTGTACGCCTCATTTGTCGATGAAGGACCTCATGAAGGATAACCTTCCCGTATGCCATAAGCGTAAACTCATGGACATGTGCATCCTCCCCATTCTCACGTATGGGGCTGCACAAACTTGATGTTTGACTTGACAGCAGAGGTCCGCGCTGAAGGTTTGCCTGCAAGCCATGGAGATAGTATTCTGGGCGTACGGCTGACAGACCGAATAAGAAATACAGTACTATGCTCCAAAATACAAATCGCAGATGTCACTCATAACGCCGCGCACTCGAATGGGACTGGGCCGGACACGTTTGCCGCTTGCCGACGGATCTATGGGCAAAAATTAGCAAAACTTGGACCCTACAAGGTGCGAAACGACAGTGTGGTAGACCCAGGCGAAGATAGCGGGACGATCTAAGTCGACTTCCGAAAAGACTAGTCCGAACTAGCACACGACAGAGATGTGGAAAGGAGAGTGGGAGGCCTTTGCCCTGCAGTGGGACAATATTTATATATTATTGACTATTATCTACTTTTAATTATTACACATACAACCAAGGAACCTATTTGTACCGGTGAGTGTGTTTTTTTTTAAATATAGCTTTCTGATAATTGTTCAGCTATTTTACGAAATAACAATCTATACTAATATTATAAAGCTGAAGAGTTTGTTTGTTTGTTTGTTTGAACGCGCTAATCTCAGGAACTACTGGTCCGATTTGAAAAATTCTTTCAGTGTTAAATAGCCCATTTATCGAGGAAGGCTATAGGCTATATATCATCACGCTAAGACCAAAAGGAGCGGAGCACCAATGCAGAATGTTTCAAAAACGGAGAAAATTTATTACTATTGAGAGACGCAGACGAAGTTGCGCCGCTCAGCTAGTAATATGATATGATGAATAACATAAATATAAAATTACTAAATGTTTTGAAAAGAACATCAATAACGCTTGTGTGTATTTACAAAATAAATGTAATATAAACCACAATTCTATGTATGGCCTTATTAACACGTTAACTAGGGTGTTGTTACAGTAATTCCTGTGAAAACCACAAACAAGTCAATAAGTGCGCGTGTTTCTGTAAAAACAACAAATTGATATATTACTTTCCTCCTTCACCATTGTTATATTATAAATAGTGAACTTAAAATTAAGCTAAAGGACGTCTACACAAACAGACCTATAAAACGTGTTTAATTCTCTCACAGCTAACTTAGAATAGTTGTGATTATTCTGTTTTAAATTTTGTTAGTTACACGTTTTTAGATTTAATATTGTTAATTGAATTAGAACAGACTTAGAAGGTTAAGAGATCAGCATTTTAACTTCCAACGCTGCGCTTGCCGCGCTGGCTGATGGGATTTGGTCAATATTATAACCTACATATGTCAGGGGCGTGCGCTCCTTGTAGGCAGAAATGCAGTGCTTTACTTGCTATTCACAGACATTTTAATAAAACGTTGGTACGTTTTAGATGACTTTAATTAATAGTAAATAAATGAAAAAACAAAATATAATAACTTAAAAACGCGTACTATTTACAAATAGCATAGAACCACATAAACATTGTTTGCCAGGTGTTTACCGAAAAGCAAGCGCAAAGCAACTCATGCCGTCGCCTCGCGCAGGACATTTGTTCGCATGTGTGTAGTAATTTTGGTGTCCGTGCACAGTTCGCATACGCACACACCCATTTATTTTATATGCCCGACTACAGCCGCAGGATACTGCAGTTGGCCTTCGGGTGCCGCGCTAATCGTTGTCGTCAGTATTCGGGTATAATCGGCAGTGTTCGTTGCCTATAAATCCACCCAATTACAATAGTCAGAAATATAATGAATCATGTATGCGGATTATGAATTTTGAATATGGTAAGGTTTTATTTGTTTAATTAGCAGATATGTTTCTTGTTCGCGGGGGCCATATTGATTTTTTCATGTGATAAGCATTGTTTACTATTTTCTTTCCGCCAGTATAATTATAGTTTTATTTGAAAGTGTGTACATTTAACAGTTTATTACCGAGTTCCGGTGATTTTTTTAAAATGTTATTTGATTGTGAGTTATGTGTGGATAATGTATGTCTATTAAAAATTAAAAATAACAAGTTCTCACAATTGCCATTCAGTGAAAAGATTAAAATTGTGTCTAAAGGTAGGTGTGTACCCGAGTTACAACAATTAAACCAGCAAAAAGGAAATGTAACTCGCAAGTTTCATGTTAAGAGTTATGAAACGTATAACTGGCTGTGTGGTTGTGTACACACGATTAAATTATATTGTTTTCCTTGCATATTGTTTAGTAATTCTAGTACAGTGTGGACTGATTCGGGATATTCAGATTTAAATAATTTCTATTCCGCAGCAAAGAAGCATGATGCATGGTGAGTAGTTATAATATTTTAGCCTATTATTTTACTTATTAGAATTTCTTCCGCCGCGACGATCTATCGCTGTTTTGTCTGCGTTCCCGTTGAAGATGTACATGAATAGTAGTACATCTAAGACTTGTGCTAAAAATCTATAAAAGAAAAAGTGACCGACTACTCCGCCGCATACCTAGTGTCATAATCCTGTGCACGCCGCTGACATATGTATATGTAGCCGTAAAATGCGGTTATATCCTCAGTATGTAACTATAACATGGATATAATTCGTTTTTCAGCGACATATGTAAATAATATCATTTCTCCGAAATGCAATCCAAGGAACATGCTTAATTACTATGGAGAGTTATTAACCTTACAAATTATAATACTGTTTTAACTGTTTTAATTTTCGTCTAACGTAAAACGTCTGTCTCTCTTATGTACTTAACATTTGCTATTGGATTCAATCTGAAAAGTAAATCGAAAATTATTCAGTCGTATATCATCAGTGTATATCGAGTGCGAGTGACAACAAATTCTCCAGGTGTAAGCTCATTATAAGAGTTTTAAAAACATTGTCGTTACCATGGCCATAACGAATGCGATCGAACACAGAACACACACAAGGTGCACGTGCGCGTCCACGATCCGTGTGCTGAATAAATAGGCATAATATCAATTGTGCGCGGTCACCACCACAACCATTATCAAATGACACGCTGAACTGCAAGCGTCACGTACTGGTCGAAACAGAGCAACGAAGGTCTCAGTAAAATGGTCA